AGAGGGGGTGCCATTCTTAGCAGTCAACCCACAGGCCACATCTGGCTCTGTTGTCTTCTGTTTGGCTTTTAGCCTGTCCCAAAGGGATTGCAAACCCAACTCCTCCATCAGCTACCCACTCATATTTTAGAAACTAACCGCAGTGTCTGGGGAGAAAGAGGTTTTTTCTGTTGCTTTGTTTTCTGCACAAAGATGGCGTGGGAGATGTTTTTTAAACTCCTGTATAATAATTTCCTCTCTTGAGACCTTCCAGTCTGGCAGTGAACGGTGTGTGTTCTCATGCACATGTGGGCTGTCTTTCCCTGCTCACCCAGCCTTTCTCTCTTCCAAACCAACCCCCGCTCCCATATGTGTGCATCAACATACATCCACAAGTCAAAATCCATAATGGAGTTGAAAAATGTTTTCTGCTTTGTTCAGACAAAAGGAAGGGGCAGGCAGAAAGCCTATAAAGAAAACTGAGTTGAGTTTAAGCAGCAAAAGCAGATACAGTATGTGATAGTACCAACTGTGTTTGCACTTGGATTAATTGCCTGTATGATCAAGCTGTACACAAGTAATTGCAGACAGACTGGATTTAGTTAGACAGCAACTCTTTCTCAGAGGAAAATCAACCAGATTACTGTCAGCGTGAGTGAAAGATGGTCTGTGAATGAGACTGGTGTAAAAGAGGGTGTAGTTGCATTCACAGCTGAAAACACCAAAGGAAGAAGGAAGCAGATCTATGGTTATTCAGCAAATGTAACATCTGGCAATTGAAGATGTGTGTGAAAAACTAGAGTTTCATTTTAGTACCTCAAAGGAATTTAATCGTGAATTCCTGGTGATTAATTGCTATTTTTATTTTATATATTCCCTCACTATATATTATACATTGGAATCATACAGTTACTGTAATTGCATTTGAATTATTTACAGTAATTATAAATAATTACACTAATGTAACATCAAGTAGAGGATAAACGCCCAAGGGCGATATGAGGAATCAAGAACCCATATGCTCTTCAGAGGAGCAAGGAGGAGAGTTTAGTGCAACAGAAAGAAGCAACTGGGGAAGGGGAAATACTCATTTTGAAGTTGCTTACATGCTGCAGCATCTTAATTGCTAATGTCTTGTCCTGTCACCCTCACTGTCAGACAGGGAGGCACTTTTCTGTCCTGTTACACACCTGGGTAACTGAAGCCTGGAGTAGCTCTATGTGGTCTCAGGTAATATGATTAATGTCTTTAGTCGAGCCAAGATACTTGGGATAGGTCTCCAGAGTTTCCATTACAAATACAGTCTTTTTTTTTTTTTTAGGAAGAGGAAGGTCATAACATGAGTCTTGCATTATAAAAGCACACAATTTCCCTTATGCAGGTTCCTTTTGATCATTAGTTAGATATTTATTCCTTATATATAGGTTTTTGCTGGTGGTTCTTTCCTTCATATTTCCACACATTTCATTATAAAAGCTGGGGGAGAAAAAGCTGAAGAATAAACCACATTCTGACTTAATTAATTTGGACTTGAGCGTGCCATTCAACTGAAAATCCATTTAAAAGGGTAATCCATGGTTAAAGAAGGAATATTATTCCAGTCTGCTCTGTTTTGGAGGCGTACTGTTTTCTGGAAGCTGGATACATGAGCCTTGTGCTGAAAGAGACTTCCTGCAGTCATTTAAGACTCTTGATCCAAGTAATGCTGAGGTAGTGGAGGAAGTCCAGGATTAAAAAAGTGAAAATACCTTAACAGTTGATCGTGTGACTTACAAAATCTATAGTAGTGCTTCAAAAAAGGAAGAAGGGCCGAGGACAGATTTACGTTATAAAAACCAGAAATAATAGCTTGGACTGATTGCTGGTTGCCTAATCCAGTTTTACTACTGGTATCTGCACTTGAGTTACTTCTGTATTGAGAAGCCTTGTCCTTGATCCTTGGCCTCTGCGCTCTGGTGCTAAAAGCGGAATGCAGTTTTGGCTGGGATAAAGTACACGTTTGAAAGTTCTCTACTGCTGCTTTGTTTCAGTTTGCCCTCTCAAGATACATAGGCTGTGCACTCCTTGCCCCAAAGTCTCTTCTTTATCATTTCTATGATTTAGAAATCATCTTCTCTGAGGATGATTTTTAAACAACTCATGTTGGCACTGTCAGTCAGTTTGGGCAGAGCTTGTTGAAATAATGTAATGTAGAGAGGGATGGGTTTTGCAGAGGTGGGAAGAATTGGCAAGGCTGATGAAAAGCAGAAGTGTGAATGGGGAGAGTAATAAAGAGAGTAATAAAGGATAGATGAAAGACTTCCAAGAGAATTTTGCAGTCTCAAGCCTGGATTCTGAGGCCAGCTGTAGACTCATTTTGGTACTATGTAAAAATCTCATGCTGACTGCTTAAGTCAATGTTGATCTAAATCTGTAGAGTGGAAGAGCAGCGTGGAACACCTCCTGCACTGCTTCCTGACAGGACAGCTTATCTCCTGTCTCATCATGCACTTGTCTGGTTGAGCGGCAAAGCTGTAGCCATGAGTACGTCCCTAGTAGCCATGAGATAGTGCTCATGGCCTTCACTTTTTCTCATGAGGGAGGCCCAGTGGGTGGCTGATGTGGGCAAGAGAGAGCATAGCATCTCTTGTGTGCTGAGGCAAAGGGGCTTGTGTCTTCAGTGCCTCTCTACAAACAGGAAATAGCTTCTGGTAAATCCAAGTCGGTGGGAACCACAGATATGGTGAAGAGGATGCTCCTTTCCCCCAGCACTCTTTTTGAATGACAGGTGGGCTCTTTCACTGCAGCTCTCACCAGCACACAGCAAGACAGGGTTGTGTCTCTGGGGTGCTGTGGTGAGGATACCCCCGGGTGCTAAACTGTGACTCTTCTCATTGCACGTAATCCGGCAACGAGATCATGCTTCAGTGTGCAGAGACCCAAATGATCTTTTGAACCAGGAATGTTGTTCTGAGTCATGACTGGTGCTGTACCAAGTAATCCTGTGTGCATAGCTGTGGCAGTGTATTGGAGTTGCAGCTGTCTGCTTCTCTTGGGTATTTTTCTACTTTGTTTGCCTTTGTTTTGTTCAGTAAGGTCTCTGCATGTAAATACTTTCAGTGTTAAAGAAGTGGGTGTTTGGGGTTTTTTAGCAGTGTTTAGAGGAGGTTGTTTTGGTTTTTTTGGGCCTAAAATTATCTTGGAACTCCCATTACTGGGAGGATGATTCTCAGAGCTCCTTTTGATTTGCATTTCTGTGGGCCATCTTAAAAAGCAAACTGCAGTGTTTGGTTTTTTATCTCACAAGTGACTGAGTTAAAATCCTATTCAGGAATGTTTATCCTTGGTGCATGTACATGAATGTGAAGTTTGTGTTTTTAGAGTGAATATCATCCTGCTGTTTTAGATGGATAGTAGGACCTTCACAATGAACACTTACTTTTAAAAGGCTTTTTTGTGTGTGAAATATATTATACACATTTCACCAGCCTTAGGATGACGTACAGTCTGAGAATAAGGTAATAATGTAATATTTACTTGACCACAAAGATAATTATGTTTAGTTTAGTATTAAAGCTATCTTTGTAAAATATGAAATGAGGCATCAGATCCTTTTAGAGGATTAGTTAATTCTCATTGGCAAAAGTGTTTCTTATTTTCTTGGTTAGAGCATGTGGGAATTGTGTTTCTTACAAGACACCTTTTAGACAATCCAAACCCTAACATTTAACCATTGTGTACTTACATGGTGGTAGGCAGTAAGGGGCTACTTGGTTACATTTGGTTTGAGTCTTGCTGGTTTTGATTGTTAGTTAAAGGTCACAGAAATAAAGACTACAAACTAAAAGCACACCCCCCTCTTGAAAAGGAATATCAGAGCTGAAAGGTGTTTACATCTTTAAAAGCCATAAGCTTTTAAAGCATTAGTGACTACGTTTCCAAACATCCCTAAAGATGAAATTCTGTTTGGAAGGGTTACACTCTAGATAAAGATCATCAGGAGCCTGCTGTGCGAGCGGGGCAGTTAATTTCAATCGACGCAGGAAGGTCAATGTAGCATTCTATAAGAGTAGTAGATATAGCACAGTGATTACTTTGAACTCATGACTGCTTGCTTTTGCAGTGAAATCTTCAAGGCTACTCCTTCTTAAAGAATGTTCACGGGAATATCACCATAAAGAGGGAGCTAGCTCTAACGAAGACATCAATCACATGCCATGCTGACTCCACCTGGGTCAAAACTTCTTGGTCACCATGACATGAAATATCTCTCTTCAGAGACCACATATTTTAGTTATGGTTTGGATATGGTTCCTGCTCTGTCTGCTTCTTTTATTCTGGAAGTAATTTCATGAGAAGGGAGAATGAGAAGAGAGGCTTCCTAAATATCTGCAGATGCATGTATTATTGAAACTCAAAGGGTGCAGACTCATAGAATCATTTTAACATTGGAAGCTTTGTTGATTTTGTTTCTGAGTATTCTTTATCAGGAGAGACTATAGTCACCAAAATTAGTCATTAGAGGAAGACCCAGGATTTTTATAATTCCTAAGTAAACAGTCATTCTTTTCTTACTGCTGACTCTATTGCAGGACATCTGTAAATCTGTAGAACAAACCTGGACTTGTTATTAAAACCCGTAGGCGGTGTATTTGGGTGTGAGAGGAATGGCTGATTTCAGATTGATTATTAAGTAGTATTTTTGGTGAAAGTCCAGGCTATTTTGAAAATGAAACTAATGAGAAAACAACTTTCAGCAATTATGTGATAGTTTGGGGGATTTTAATGTTAATACTGAATTATAGTAGGTCTTAATTTTTTTCTTGAGCATTTTAGAAATAAAAGAAATAAAATGGTCATCATGTATGAAGTAGTTGCATTTCTGTCTTTGTTGACCGAGGGAACCCTTGGAGTAGCCTTCTCAATGCTTTGCTTGGTAAAACCAATGCCCAAGCATGTTCATCATATATTTTAAGTAATTTGTGTTGGACTCCTGTGTATTAGGTAGAAAATTACATGTATAAAATGTCTCCTTATTCCAGGAAAAACATTGGCTGTTGATGCACCTGATGGACACAGAGCTCACTTCTCTCAACAGACCACCCTTAACAAAGGACTTAGCAAGTCTATGGGATTTCTGTCCATTAGAGGAACACGAGACGAGGAAGAGTTTTTCCAGGGCATTTCTGCAGATTACAGTTCGGGTCAGGAAGATGTTTTCTGTCCTCATAGGTGTAAAACCAGTGAGCTTGAGAAAAAAGGTCACCTTCACACAGATGTCCCTCCCAAACGGAAAATATGGGCTTCTTCCACAGATTTGCTTTGCTCTACTGACAAGGCAGCTGAGAGGGACCATGCTGGAGGCTCTCACAGGCACAGCCATCAGTGTGAAACATTTACAGTACGGACTTCTACTACTGCCAGAAACAAGGAAGCAAGATACTCCGATGGGAGCATAGCACTGGATGTCTTCGGACCACAAAAACTGGACCAAACGCGCCACATGCCTGAGACATCAACTTCTGCAGCAATATCAAGTGCCTTTGACAGGATAAGAGAGAGACAGAAGAAGTTGCAGCTTCTGAGGGAAGCTATGAATGTAGAAGGTTAGTGAAGCTTTTTGATTTTCTGAATATTCCAGTCGTCAAACAAAGATTTCTTGTTATGATAAATTTTAGCTCTCTTGTAGCAGCTCTTGAAACAGCTGAGGTCTTTGCTTCATCTTTTTTTACATAAAATGAAGTCATTAGAGCATCTGCTGCCAATGAAGATAAATGTGGTTGTCCAGATTGCTTACTTAGAATAGTTGACCTCTAACCAGTTTCAAGCTCATCAATTACAATTAGGAAAAAAAAGATGGTAACAGCCAGTTGTCAAGTAATTTTTCTCAAAGGAAGATTCTCATCTCCAGCTATTAGAGATGGATTTATGCCCCTGAGGAAAGGCAGAAAATTTCATCTCCAGATCTCTAGTTTTGTGTGTATAGCCCTGGACTTAAGCCCTTGAATATGAATTTTTTATTTTTGCCTCATGTTCAGATCTTCAGTGGGAATACTTCACACAAGTTCCATCAGTTCATTAAAAAAATGCATGGGGGAAAAGCAGGTCTTTGAAATTATTATAAAAGTTATATTGTTATAAGACAATATAACTTGATGCAGTACCCTGTAAGTGGAACTGCATGTTTTATTTGCTTTGGTTTTGTGGGGTGATTTTCAGGGTCTGTAAGTTTGAGACAGCTGGATAGAGCTGGATCCTGCTTGTGCTGGGCCAAAGAGCATAACTTGGTCATCCAAGGTGTATGGTACAAGAGCTGTGTACAGAGCTAGCATTTACTCAGGTGCACTCAAAGACTCATGAGTTAGCCTGCCTGCTGTGTGACAGAAGTGAAAACACACCCTACCTTGGCCTCCTTCTTCTGCCTGAGGTGCAAACACCTCCATATTAAGGAGAGATGATAAAGCCTTTTGTCAAGGTTGAATTTCTGAAAATGCCTACTCATGCCCTTTGTGGCCATCTTGGGATATGCTTGTACTGCAATTAGCAGGGGAAGCCAGTCCTTTCCTGAGCATGTGAGCCTTTTGTTCCAGAAAGGAGTGTTACCTGGCATAGGCAGGTTAAAAAGCTGTTGTGATTTTGGTACAGCTGGAGTTCTCTCGTGCTATAAAATCAGCATCTTTGGATGAGGGTTACATTATCATGTGAAGAAATGAACATAGATGAAAGCAGCACTGTGGAGATACCATTGTTTATCTCTGTAGCAGTTTACTATCTGTTGTTACCTACCAGGATGTCTGATGAGGTACAGGGAAGCCTGGTTGGCTTTTGGTTTAAGACTCTCAAAAAAATGGGGTCCATCTCAAGTGTATGAGTCAACTTGGATCATTGGAGATAGGCAGCTGACAGGGTTTAAGAGGAGGCCACTCCCAGCATTGGGAAAGCTCAATAGCCTTGTTGTTCAGGAGTGCAGCTTTGTGCAGGTTTGTCTTGCACAAGAGCAAAACCAAAAGCGTGGCCAAACCCATTGATGAGCAATGGGCTTATCATTCTCATTCAATCGGATTGGGAGATGGCAGAAAACAAAACATGCCCATGCCTTGCAAACTGAGATAGGTCAGATGTGTGAAACTACTAGATTCATGAGAGGAATGGGTGAAAGTGCACAGTAGACTGGGAACTGGGCCTTAATAGTCACAGAGGCAGTGACAAACATGTGCAGGGAAGATTGAGGTAATAGCCAGTGACTCACTGCCCATCCTTCTGAATTACTTGCTAGGAAAAAAGTAAAGACACTTTCTCAACAGGTAGCTGGGTTTCAGAGTTTTCTGTTTTCAAGGAAGGTGTATTTCACTCTTGAAGGTGTGAATGTGTGCTTTACTGTTATATTTTAGGCTCTCAGTTGTTCAATTTCTTTGGTCAGTTAACTACTTAAAGAAAATCTTTTGGACCAGAAACTAATTGTGAATGGGATTTTTTTAATGAGCCAGTTTAAAAGAATATTCTAGTAAAATGGATGATGAATGCTTTTTCACATAGGAGTTAGCTGCAGTTATGTCTTGAGAGACCTGACTGGAAGTATCTATTCTGCCTTAGTGAGGAGATTCACAGAAGTCTTAATACATAAAATCTGCTAGTCTGTTAAGACTTCTTTCCCTTTCCCTTCTTTTGTTCCATATGTTTTACTGTTCCTCATCTTACATTTTTTTAACACCAGATATGTCTCTTGAGATCATTCATAAGAAGTCTTTTGCCAGTTTCATCTGTCAAAGAAATGAAAAATAGTCTTGAGTTTTTTATGCATTCCTGGTGTATGTAATTTTGAAGTACTTAGTGGGTAGACAGATATTTCCATATCCAACACTATCAAGTGTCAAGTGTGTGTGGAATTACTCTTCTGACCAGCGTAGCTGAGAGGTATGAGTGAAAAAGGGAGGAGAATAACTTACTTCATGTAAAAGTTCATGCAGTTTGGAGTAAGGGTTCAGTTCACTTTGGAGGGGGAGGAATGGGCAAGGAGTCACGAGAAGCAGGGTTATGGTTGGGTAGCAAAGGAGACACAATCTGCCTTCTCTTTGGTAGGTCTGGGGATATTTTCAGTTCAGTTGAGCCCAGGTCTAGGTTACAGCTAAGCCTGTGTAAATTGTATTAAGCCTCTGCTTTTGGCTGTATACATTGTTTTTCTCCATTTTTGAATTGTGAAGTGACATTGGACTCTCTGAGTTGAATTTGGAGAGATAAAACTTCCCTCCTTGAACTACAAAGGAATTTAAGTGACATATGGCTTATTTTTCTTTAACTTACTTTGGGTTAAGCTGGAAAACTTTTCTGTTATTCATAAAACCTTAAGGAGCTGACTGCCTTGGAAAAAGAAAATGTTCTTATGCACAGGCTCTGGTTTGCCAAGCTTTCACTCAGAACAGATTTTTACAATCTAAATTATAAACTCATGAAAAGCAAAGTTTATAGTGGAAAGAATGACAGAGCTTTAATTACAGCTGTGCTGTAATACTTTGTAGTGAGCTGCAGACCATCTGAAGAGTACTATAATATACTGTTGGAACATCTCTGATTTAGCCTCACAAGGCTTCCAAGGACCGTGTCCTTGTGACTGCCTTGCTCTTGAACTTGCTGGCTTATGTTAATCTGCTGTACAGTTTCAGGGTTGAGGTTGTTTATCTCTTCTGTACTGAAGATGATTGTTTATGATTAGGTGCCATTTAGCCAGATGGGGGCAAGGGCAAGAGTCTGCTATTTGACTTAAAGTATAGCAAATTCTGATCACTAAGAAGAGAATCCAAAAGTATGTGTCAATTTTACCAAGAAAGTTCTTTGTCTTTGACCTTTTGTTCCTTCTTGGGTTTTTATGGAGGTTTTGTGACCTTAGAATTTATTAGAGTTATAAAGTTATTAGGTGTTAAACCCAAACATCTTATCTGTACCCAGAAAACAGGTTTTGTTTTTGTTCTTCTTTTGAAACTTGGAAATTATTGCCTGGCACCTGCTGATAGTGTCCCATTTCTTTCAGAGAGGAAGTAATACTCCTTTACAATTTGCAAGCTTGCATTGCAGCTCTAGAGTAGGAAGGTGTCATTTGTTCTCCCATGCTCCAGGTTTTTTTGCCTTTTCTCCCAGCAAACTGATTGTATCTCCTGACACTTGTGAAATACGCACACACTCAAGTGTTCCTATCCTAGGCCTGTCCTCAAAGGGCTCAGTAGCAAGGCACAAGGCTGTGAGATGGCAATGGTAGCCTTGTCTAAACCTCTCCTTTTGCTTAGGCAGCTCCTCCTCCACTCTTTGTTTTGTGTGTATGCATAATTCAAAGTGAAAGGGTTTATGTGTTACTTGAGTGAATGGGTATCCTTTTTTTAAATTTGTCTAAATCCAGTGTTGTTTATGACAATGTTCTAAGTGAGATCCATGAGGGAGCATAAAGCTTGCCCATGCCCTTGTGGAATACAGGAGGACAAAACCAGTTAGGAGAGTAGTAATATAGCCGGCTGTGGGTTGAAATAGCAGACAGGGCAAAAAAAGATGGGAGGATACTGAAAAAGTTGATCTTGCTGAAGCTCTGAAATGCTGAATCCAGGGGTGGGGAAATAGGGGTGGTTTGGGAATATTCTTAAGCCTTTGTTAAATGTTTTTGCAGTTGGGAACCATGTGAATTCCAGACCCACAAGTTGTGTTTATTCCTCTCTCTTTTTACCTTGATTTTTTTTTAAAACCCAGATTATTAAATCCTCAGATTTTATGGGTTTTGTTCAATTATTGCTCTTGCTTCATAGAGTCAGCAGGAAGAGGCAGCAATAGTCTATGTTTCTAGACCAGAGTCTTTTCCTCCTAAGTCTTCTTCCATGTGTTTGTCTCCCAAAACTAGTCTCATTGGCTACCTTGAAGACTCATTTCGACCCCATCTATAAAATTTCCATGTTATGACAGCCTGTGTTTAGCTCTAAAGGATGCAGTTAATGGTTACAGTTAGGGATACTGTAAATGCCTGGATTTTAGATGCTCCCTTAGTTTGAAGGTGTTTTTTTGATTAAGGGAACATTTCTGCAGGTTATCAGGCAGCTGTTGGTAGCAAATTTATCCCAGCATATTAAGCCCTGGAGATTTGAATTAGGGAGCTTCTTTAGATGTGGGTTAAATGGGAAATTTGATTTAGGAGGGAAAAAAGGAATAGTTGTTTTACAAACCTAGCACTGTGAATTTATTGAAGTGCACATTCTCCCTTTTTCTCTTGAATTGTATGTTCTGGGTTTCTGAGCTCACTGTGGGCTGTTTGAGTCATGCACAATGGAACATCTGTTTGCATGTGAAAGAAAAGGAAGGGGCAGTTTGCTCGTGGTGCTGCAGTGTGATTTAAATTCACTGGTGACAAAATAGATTCTCGTGTGGTTAGTCTGTCCAGTAGAAAAATATTCAGAAATAATTTTAATGAATCTGAGAGGTAGGATAATGTTGGTAGGGCTGTTATTATTTTGGTTAGAGAACTCCAGCTGTTGATTTTACTGAGACAAGATACTGGCTTTTCAAGGAAGAAGATATTTGTGGGGTATCTGTAAAATACATGTAGTATGGCATCAGCAACTATTACTTTGTGCTGAGTTACACAGCTTAACATTAGGCAGTAAACCAGCTCTTACAATTGCATAATTGCACAGCAGAGTGGCATCTGCTTTATCTCATCTATCGAGCTTTCAGCAGCTCACACAATCTGAGATAGTCAATTTTTGGTCAATACATTACATTCTCAGTTGGATAAAACATTTAAATTAAAACAGGCAAACAACTTTGTTAGAGAAGCTCTCAGTCTGGGCCTGTGTTAGTTTACATACCTTATCCCAGATGGCATGATCCAGATCCAGAAAACAAGGGTGTATTTCTAAATACAGGACTCTTGAGTTCTCACCAGGCCCTGGCATTGTTATTTTTAATGTCTTTGTTTTCCTTTCAAGCCATCACTAGAGATGTGTGTTCTGTGCAGTTTTCCAAGGCTAAATTTTTTGTCTGTAGATTAGATCCTGCCAGGCCCTGTGCATCAGACTGGGCTCCCTAGGGGCTTGCCTGGATGGCTGGTGACTTGGACTGCATGTGTAATACATCTTTTTCATGTAGAGTGTGAGTGTGGAAATCTTGCAAATTAAAATGAGCCTGCTCCCCTGGAAGTCTGAATGGGCTAGTTTCCTTTGTCAGCTGCTGGATATGAATCCTTGCCAGGAATTTGAACTGGATCTCAATGTCCTTCCTGTTAAACCTATACTGGCTTGCATAAGATAGTTCAAGTTTTCTTAGATGAAAAGAGGAAAAGAAAAGGAGAAACACATATGAATCTAATCTATTGATTTAACTCATGGGAAAGAAGTGAGTCCCAGCTTCTCCTGAAGGACAGTTAATGTGTTTTAAGTGGTATTATAGTACCACTCTCCTGTAATAGACACCCACCAGTAAACTTCAAAGAGCAAACAAGAGCTCTCTCCCCATCATGAAACTGTTGGTTTAATTCTGCCGCCTTCGCTGCGCCGCCAGAAATAATTCTGTAATGATGTGTATTTGAAAACCTGTGTATCTGATGTGACTTGTGTTCAGAATAATGAAATTCCAAGCTGAATGTGGTTCTCTGATTTCTGTTGAAGTTGGCTGAGGTGAGGCTCTCTGTATGTGACTTGTCTGGGCTTGCACGTCTCGCCTTGCGTAAATAGCGCATTTTGTTATTTTACGCTGCGTGAGGTGCCTGGGAGGTTGTGCTCTGCTGGTTTTGATAGGGAACTTGAAAAAGCACCACTGCATCACTAAGCAGCACAAAGACAGACTCTTCAACTTGTAATGCATCATCTACCTTTGCATCATGGAGCTACCACATGCTTATTTCATTTATTAGTACAAGTTTTATATATTCATTTTAGTCACAAACTCTTAAAATGTGCTTAAACTCATGGATTTTTTTCTATTAAGGTATGAAATAGTTCAGTGTTCTGGTAAAATACTGTAGAACAGTGAAATGTTAGGGAGGGTAACTGATACAGTTATTTTTGCTACAATGTGCTTGGTGTCTATAGAAGTTTAATCAGTTCTGAAGTCTCTCTTCAGTCACCAAAACTTTTTACAAAAAACAAACAAAAAATCCTCAAGAAACTAAGGCAACAAACCAAGGCCGTTCAGATTTCCCACAGAAAATTGTAAATATGGGACAGAAGTTGTAGTCTTTAGCTTTTGCTGTCATTTTTCAGCTCCTTCCCAGCCAAGACACACTAGAAGTTTGTCCTTGCTCTTGAAACTTCTGTATGAAAAGCTAAACTTTAATTTCATCCCAGAACTGGGACTTTGTGACCTTTGGAAGCCAATTCTTAATTAGAAGCTTAGCTTGGGCATGATCCAAGTGCCTTCTTTGAAGTTAAATCCTAATATGATACGTTATACTTGAGGAGAACTTGCTGGAGGAGATGAGAGAGCATAAATTATTTGGATGACTGTGCAAGCATTATAGATAGAATATTCTCAATATTTACATTTTAATTGAGTATTTGCAGGTCTGCAGTGCACATTCTGTCTGTGCCCCAGGAAGGAAGGCAATTGGTTAAGAGGGGGTGCAGTGCTGGGGGGTGTGTAGGGGGTGCACACAGACCTTTGTGTAGGCCAGCAGAGAACTGGAAGGAAGATGCTCCAGCAGCACTGTTCTACATCTGTATGTACTTTCTCTAAACTGACTAAAATGGATATCATTCTAGAGGATTTACATGGAATTTCAGAATGTAGCTTCTTAATTGCCTTTAAACTTTGCCTGATAGTCATAAACTTTGCCTGATAGCCCAGAATAGAAAGGTTGTTGAATGCTTACAGCAGATGAGAAAAATACCTTTGCTTGTGTTCTTGGGTTAAGTTGGCGTGGTCTTGATTAGGGCGAAGGATGTGGCAAGACAGGAGCGTGATCCTGTCTCCAGCTCTACTTGTGAATAGGTTTGAGCTTTTTTGGGCCTTATGTGTGGGTCTGTGACAAAATTGAGATAAACAGTGTGTGGAAATCTTGTTTTTTGTTTCTTGGCTCATGGACTTCTTGGCCTATGGCATGGCACCAGCTCCTGCTAACAGGATGACTCAGGAGAAGTCAAACACCCTGCAGAGTCCCATATCATGCCAGCACCTACAAACACTTGTCTCGTGGTTTAACTGAATATTTCTGTTTTACCACGGGTTTGGTATTTTCAAAATTTAATGTCTCAAAGAACTAGAATGGAGCCATAATTTGTGTGCAATTTGAGAAGCCTCAGCTGCTGACTAAGTGGAAAAAAATAAGTCTGTTTAAAAATCTCATGTCACATTTTATTGTTCCCTCTCCATCATCTTGCTTCAAAGTCAGTTCAGCAGACTTGAAAAACCTACAGCTAATAAAACTACCGGGAAACAAGAGGTCTGGTTTTAGTTAAACATTTCAGTACTGTAGCTCCAGTGTCATGTTTGGATTGATGCCTCACTTAAGGGCTGGGAGCATTTTAAAAACATGTCTCCAAAAGCTACCCACTGAATTTGGTTTTTATTTCCCATGGTAGGCAAATAACTGCTAGACTGGGGGCAGATTTGTTTGTTGTAAAATCCACAACGTTGAAAGTAGCCATTGTGAAAGATTGAAGCAACCTCACTGCTCCCACACAGCCCCAGTGGATTCTTTTCATCTTGCTTTAGGTCCACATTGCTCCTTTCTGAGAGTAATATGTTCTGAGTGTAAAATGTTCTTTGGATTAATTGGGTTTTATCCTGCTAAACTGTACAACTGGGATGGGCTGGTGAGACCTGCTGGTTTCATAACTTGATTTGCAGCTTTGCTTACCTTTCCCAGTTTTCTTAAAGATTCCCTACATAGCCCAGGTGAGATGGGGTTGGAAATGGGGGAAATATTGGCTTTTAAAGATGAAGGTTTTGGAAACAGTCCAAAGTGAACAGGAGCTAGTCTTTAGTTCTAGGAGTACTGCATTATCTTACTTCTTTTCATGCTTTTTTCCTGTTTGGAATTTTTCTCTGTAGGAAGTCTGTATGAATAGTATGGTTGACTAACCTGCCATCTGACCTAATAGAAGTTATGCAGCAGGTTTACTGTTCCCTCAGAATTTTTCACCAGATGTTTTGTTGTCTGGGCGTGGAAAGTTGGAGCTTCAGATTTCTTTGTTGCAGCCTCCAAAAATATCTGCTCATATATATTCCCCATTTTGTATTCTTGCATTGTCTATTCCTTGCTGTAATGACTGGCACTTGTTTTCACAGCAGTTACATCTGTTTTTTCTATATCACTGCTTTTGTTTTCAAAAACATTAACTATAGTCAAACAAGAAACAGCCTTCTGCAAATAAGGACACCTGAGGTTTTTTTGTCTCTCTTCGACAGTGAAGCATTGGTATTCCCAAGCTGTAGAGACTCTTTTTTTGTGTGTGTGTATGTTCTGCTTTTATGCACATTCTGTGGGTGGTTGTTGGCTTGTGCTTAGGAAGGTTCTGGGAGATGGTTGGAAATGTCAAGTACATCCCCCCTTCTGTGGAGCCCTTTGCTCCAGTATGTTATTTACATAATCCCCTGAGAGTAGGAACTGAGACTGCTGTATTGATTTCTCATCCCATCAATTTAGCTGTACTGGTTAATTAAATATCCTCTAGGGGCTTACTAATTGATTGTTAATCATATTTTGTGGATGTCAAAGATGAGCTGAATTATAATTTGCCAGTGCTTGCTTTATCTCTGTGGATATATTTCTTTTTACGTGGTAAAAGAACCAGGGATGGAGGTCTGGTGATTGCTTTTTACATGCAAGAGGTGCACACCAAAGTTTGCAGGAGGGAACTGATTTTGTCTTGGGTCTCAATGGGGGGTTTTTAATACTAGTTCTAACTTGGAAGTGATGTTGAGGGAAGTTCAGAGGAGGTGGCTGTACTGGGATAGCCAAGAGGGACCAGGCTGACCACAGACCCCTCAGGCCATGAGAACAGAATGGGACTGCACAGCATCCCCTGGGTGTTTGCTTTGAGGCTTCATAGCCACAGAAAGGCATTTAAAAATGGTTTGGTAATATTTTTTAAAACTTCAAATGTTTGTGTTTGATTTTTACATTATGACTGTTGCTTCCTATTTCTGATACCTTGATTTAAACTTTCAGAGCCTTTGAGAAGGTACAAATCTTACCACAGCGATGTTTATAGTACTTCAAGTGAAAGTCCATCTGTTATTTCTTCAGAACCAGATTTCAGGCAAGGTAAGACCTATGTATAAAAACCAACCAACCAACCAAAAGCCCAAAGAAAAAAAAAAAAACTAAAGAAAAAAGTTCAAGATGAAAAACAGACCCCAAAAGCCTTTAGTAGGAGTCTTGATACTTGTCCTGATACAGAGTTTTAAGATGATGAAGTAATGACGTCATGTATGGATCAGCATAGTGTGCAGTCTGTTCAGAAATGAGTTTGACATTTAGCATTCTGGGAGGGAACTTGATAGGAAAAGCTGGAAATAGTTAACTTTTTAGTAGAAGTGTTTTTATTTAAATAACATGCTGAAAAAAAAAATTATGGAATTGGTAGTGCACAGTAGCAGGGAATTACAAAAGCTTTATATGGGACATCATGATATAATTACATCGGTGGGTTTTGCTATGAGGGTTAAATGGTTTATAATTTATATGCCAAGGATTTCAGTGTAATGCAAAAGTGCTATGTAGTGCAGGCTTTTTGTAAGATAAATTTAAGTAGTTTCTATTAAATTAATTGCTTGAAAAATCAGGAGATGATACAAAGGATTGTTTGCTGATGTATGGTGGGAAGAATCATCTTTGCAGAATCGTTATAAAAATGGAGACAAATAATTTGGTGAAAATTAGGAAAGAAAACAATAGGAAGATGGAGTATACCTGCATTATATATATTCAGTATGCACAGAATTCCAGCCCATCCTCCATGTACTCACTGCTCTCTCAACCTTCTTTGTCATTGTCTGTCCTTGTGCTTCCTGAGCCAGAAGCCTGAGGAGCAGTAACAAATATTGAGGCTCCTATAATTTCCCTTTGCTTGCTTGCAATTCGGAACAGACTGTTTACATGTTCCAGTCCAAAGTCAACAACTCCTAATTTTGTACAGGAAAGATAGAGCTGCCTTCTAGTAGTAGTGTATCTGGGCTCAGTGAAATGATTGTCAAAAAGAACTATTTTTAAAGAACATGGCTTTAGTGTGTTCTGCGAGAGCTCTCCTGTCAGGTCTGTTTGCTGAGGGTACAGTAAGAGGGGGAAATGAGGTACTATGCAAAATCAAGCTTGAAGTGTAGCATTTCAGGTGCAGCTACAGGCAGATCTTCCAGCAAAAGCTGTAATTTTACAAAGAAAATCACAGGTTAATATATTGCCAAAAGGAGAAAAGCCCTATAAGTTATAATGAGGAGTCAGATTCCAGGGATAATGATTACAAGTTCAGATACTTCTTTCTTAAATCCTTTTTTCATGTACTGGATGCATAGTTAACTAGCTGCTCTCTTTCTGGTCTGGAGTAGTTTTGTATGATGCATCTGCCATGTGTTTGTCTCAACTCAAGGCTGACAAAAAATATGTGTTACCTTGGAAAGGTGTCTATGCAATTGTGTGGGATCTTTCTGTGATTTCTTTTAGGGCTTCCTTAGAGTTCCTCTTCAAAAGACTATCTGCTGTTTTTGTTGGAATAAAACTGTAAAACAGCTCTGAAAACTGAAATCAGCTTCCTAATGTTAATTTGTTTGGAACTGTAGTGCCATTGTGCAGAACAGATAAATACAATTTCTTCTGAGTAAGGTCATATGACTGCTAAATCCTTGAGTTTTAGATGGGATTACTCTGTGTGCTTTGCTGCCCAGTCAGGTATTAATTTTTGTCTCTTGGTTTGCTAGTGAGAAGAAATGAAGGTTTCAAGAGAGATGATGCCAGTGGTGTGTTATCAGGTGCTGATGATATCTCCACATCAAGTCAAGCTAATTCTCAGAGAACAAGGTAAACCTTTGGAAACAGTATGTCTTGGAGTGCTTTTTCTTTATCAAAGAATGTATTCTAAATCTGCAGGTGAAGTTTTTCCACTCCCATCCCTGTTTCTGGCTAAGATCAAAAAAATTGCCATGTAATACTTGAATGAAAATAGCATTTCAGAATTATATATTGCATTCTGAAGTAAAAGTGTCATGATGCGCTGCAATGTAGAGGTAAGCTGGGCACCCACGTTCAGCTCCCATGTTTAATGGAGGCTGGGTTGAACTCTGTCAGGTTGTTTATAATTGTCAGAAGGTCAGGGGCTGTGTTCTGCTTGGAAAGATTTAATTATCTTTAATTGTATTTTTCCAAAATAAAGTTTCTGAAATTACTGATATGAATACAGATTTATTTGCATGAGGGTTTTTTCATTTAATGAGGAAATGGCAACATGTTTATTTCTTTGAAATAAGTCAAAAGCCATACATTTGCTTTGGTTATTTTGGCAAAATCATAGTTCGTGTTTTTGTGTTTGGAATAACTTTTTTTGGTACCTCAGCACTTACTAAGCAGCTAATTCAGTAAAAGTTTATGCTTTTCGAAAATTACTTTGCTGTGCAGTGTATTCAAATATCAAGTATTCACCTGTGTGAGTTTCATTTTTTCAAATGCCATTCATCAATACAGCTTTAAAAAGAAGATTCTGCTTTGAACATCACCTTAGTACAGCATCTTTTTAATATAGCAGAAACACATCTTGCCTTACCTGTTACGTTTTGAGAATGGTTCCACTCTAAAGGTTTGAAAATTTTTATTGACATTGACCTTTTGGATTTAAAGTTTCTTCTGGTCTCTGCCAGATACCTAATCACCTTGGAATATTTTATCAAAATGATGCAGATAATTTTTGTAGCAAGGGGTAAAAAATAAAGGCACGTCTTTCTTCCCCTCTTCCCTCATCACATCACAGCAACAAAGCCTTCTCTTGGCAGCTTTTTACTTTGTATGCTCTAGATCAGGAGAAATATTGCTGCTGTGCTCAGTATTCTAGTATATTGATAGGTTTTTGGCATATGTTGGAAGGGAATCCTCCTGTATCCTATCGAAGAAACTTGGAAGTGTGTGGAGATTGGGCCTGTGTTGGGTGATGTGACACTGCTGGTGAATGTGTCCTCCATGTTCATTTAAAGCAAAGGGTGATGTCGGTAAGTAGGGCTTAGAGCCATGCTTTGAACATGGAGATGAAAATAAGTGTCTGCTCCTTGCACTATATTGTGTGCCAAAAACGATCTGGGTAAGGCAGGGTGTCAAATGAGCTGCATCTCAGTGCAGGTGATCACGAGAGAAGTTCCTTGGAGGTTGTACAGCTTTTGGTTACCTGCTTTGATTAATTGGTTTCCTTAGTACCTGCACTTTGCCTGAGAAATGAAGAGTCATCTAAAAACCTATGTATTGGCATTTCTGGCAGGAAAGAAGCATTAGTTAAGCATTCAGCTTAACTGAACCACACAGTTGTGTTGTCAGGAATATGATATCTGTGTAATGCTGCATGTACAAGTGTACAAGTGGTGTACAAGCAGTGAGAATCCAGCCTGTCTTCACAGAGTATATGTGCTTTGACTTCTAAGGGTTACTGGTTTGTGTTCCATGTAACCCTGTTCAAGAACTGTACCTTTTAACTTTGTGTTTCATTCTGTTCTTAGCACCACACTAAAATGGCAAATCAGATTATTGCCACTGTATGTACAGAAACAAAATATAGCTTATCTTATTCTTAAGTTATTGTCTTAACTTATTCACCTCTTTTTTTTTATTATTTTGGTGAAAACTGCAAAGCCAATCTTCATTCTGCTTTGCCTTGAACCCAGGAAATTGCCCATTCAGCACCATAGTTATGCTTCCAAATAAACCGGCAGTAATTTGTGGATGCTGATAGAGAACTTTTGTTTCTATTTACAAAGTATTTCAGAAACAGAAAGTAGTATGTGGTATGTAAATGAGTCACATTGTAAATGAGTCATTGTTGTAAATGAATCGGGCCTATTATGCAAGTGAAAATGCTGAGGTGAAGCAGTACATAGTTTCTCATGGTTTGTTTCATACTGTTATATATTGCTCTGTTAAGGCTGTTACCTTTAATGGATGTAATTTCTGTTTGTGTGAAATCTAGAAGGAAAATATGTTTTGCAAGCACAGCATAGATTTACCTGTTGTACTTAGCAATGGAATGAATTTTACCTGTATGTAACTAATTTTTATTATTTTTAAGTATTTCTTAGTATTTTCTTTTAATCTCCTGTATCCTTGGCCTCCACTCTGATACCACTACACTTGCAACAAAAATGTCGTGGTAGGGTATCACAGGTAGTTATTTACTGATTTTCATAGTTGTTCACACATTTTTATAGGTGAACAAGTTTGGGTTCTTTTATTAATGTAACTACCAGACAGTACATATATCTAAGATGAAAAAAGAAGGCTGCCAACTGCTTTAACTAGCTTTTTTTTTCAGATCTACTGAGAAACAGGACAGCAGCCACAAGCATAATTCAGTCCTGTAGTAGTGTTTAGGTTATAGCTCCGTTAATAATATAAGCTGACTAGAAAACAGTGTGCTCTCTCTGTCTTTCTGCAGCAGCTCCTGAAAGATTCCAATGCTAACAAGTGTAAAAGGAATTCCATCCAAGATGGTAGTTAGTTAAATGGGAGATTTCTAAGAAAGTAACTTTATCTTTTTATCCAGGACATTGCATGTTGCTGCTTTAAAATGTCCTGTGTTGCAAAACACCGTGGCTTTTATAACTTCAGAAACCTCAGGTCTCAAGTAAAACTGGTGATAACAATTGGCTCCAAGGGCCTGGATCTCAGAGTTTACATGCTTTGGCTGGTCATTTGATTCCAGGGTTTGGGGAAGTATATGCAACTTAATCCATTACTTAAATTCCATCAGCACTTGGGAGTATGTTTCAGTGTCTCTCTTGCATTCAAGAGATACCATCTGTACTTTAGTACATATTAGTTTTACTGTTTCTGTGACATATTCTTAGAGCCAGTCTGGTTAATTATCCTGATAAAATTGAGTTGTAAATCGAATAGGAGGATATGGATTTGAGGGAGGTTTCTTTTAAAAGAAGCAGCAGAGCTGTTCAGAGTTATCAGAAGATGCCGCTTGTGCTGTTTGGGTGGGCTGGCCTGATGTTAAATTAGCAGAAGCCATAGACATTCAGTATTACCCTTCTTGTGGTCTGTGACTGTTGTTATCCTTTAAGCTTCTTGGAATGCATTGTGGCAGTGGCTTGTGTCTTGTTCCCTTGCTGCTTTTTGTATTCCTTGGTTTTTTTCCTTTTTTTTTTCTTTTGTTTTCTTTTTCTTCCTTTACTATTTCTTCCTTTTTCTCTCTAGGAGCAGCAGCTGACATGGATCTCTTCCTTCTGTTGCCTTTTCCTTCCAGTAGATTTCATTTTCATATCCTTCCTACCTTACCAAAAGGCATCCATCTTTCTCAGTCCATTCCTGACCTTCCCACTGCACTAATCATTAGGGAATGCCTACCTGCTTCCTTTCTTCCAACTTCCTTCTCTGATCCAATACCTGCTAATTTCTTGGTAAGTACACCAGGTGAAGAGAGAATTCACTTCCCTTTGTTTTTTTTCCCCCCAAGTGTCAGCCTTCCAGGTTTGTGCTCCCCTACCATCTGCATTTAATAAGCAGCTGTGAGATTCTGGTTTGCAGTCAGACACTGATGAAAATACAGAGTAGCAGCCAAGTACTTGTCTGATGAAGCACCACACAAAACACACTTCTGTGATGCTATCTGTTAGGAATGTAATTTAGGCTTTTTTTTTTTTTTTTTTTTTTTTTCAGTAATGACACTGGCATATTCAGAACTTCACAAATGGACTCTTCTGTACATTTCAAAAGTATTTCATTTTCTGTGGGAGAGGTGTATTCCTTGTCTTGGAACATAAAGACTGAATCCTGTTGCTCCCCATAAAAACTGGCAGTCAGACCAAGCCAGAGTTAATTGTACTGACCCAGGATGCTGAAACATGCAGATTTATGTTTGGTGTTTATGCTTATGTACTAAGACAGGAAAATTTTTAAACACTTAGGTTTTTGAGCTTCCTCCATGGACAACCCACAACCAACCCAATTTTCAGAGAAATTAATAGATGTCAACAGAAATAATAAAACCAACCTAATGATAAAAACTTCTCATTGCTTCTGTTGCACAAGGCTGTATGTTTTAAAAAAGGCAAGGTTTTCGCAGTAGGTGTTTTCACAGTAACAAGTTTCTAGATGGAGCCAGTTGCAACATGTCTTTTTCAAATGTCTTTGATAATTCATAGATATTTATGTTCAGAAAGTATTTGTTTTTGTTTTATATCAGGGCCCATCCTTAGACCTTGATCTGAAGGATGCTTGTGGGTGTATTTAACTTAGGGTTTTGTCAATATTCCCATATATGTTGATCCTAACAAGTTTCCTCATGGTGAAAAGCTAAGCATGAGCATGTGTTGGCAGGTCTGAAGCCTTTTCTCATTTCTTTGTCCTTTTTGGTCCACGTTATTCAGTCTTTTGTAGAAAAAAAACAGAGGAGGGAGAAGGGTGAAAAATGCTGTGAAAGTCCTGCACAGGGGAAAGGATTACATTAATACACACAGGGGAAAGGTTTACATTAATACATTTGTTCCATAACTACTCTGTATCTTCCCTGAAATTGCCTTTGAGGAACTTCAGCATTGTTCTCTTCTTATATTTAGCTCTTCTTATTTTAAGGCTGGTTTTGTATGCTAGCCAATGACACTTTAGTATTAAAAGTATTGGTATTGGTTAGTAATGTTGTAAAAAGATGAAAATGAAATTTGAAGTCACATCTAATGGTTTAGCATAGATAAGTGCACTGTCTTGGACAGGTGTGTTTTTCTCTTAGTTTATTAACAGATTTGTCACTCATCAAATATATCTTTAGGTTCTCCTAGGAAGTAGGTATATAAATTTAATGTATTTTTTTAAAGTCTGTATATTACCTTACCACAAAGGGCCCTGGGTCACTCAGTGCAGAATTACTCTGTATTTATGTTTGTTTCTAAACCTGCCTGCAGGGATATACAGGCTTCTAAATATTTTCTTTGCTTTTTCATGTTTTTCATTACTCAGTTTGGGTGGTATGCTTAGCACGCAGTTTAGAATTGCCAAAAAAATGAGCTTTTTTCATGAAAGACACCTTAGTTTCCTCTGTCCATTTTTGTTTAAGAATTGCCTCTGTATATTATGTTAACAGGGAGAGAACATTGTTTTTTCTTGGTTTAGGATTTCTACAGAAGGCTCGATTGGTTTTTGTTTAGTTCAGGGTTTGAAGGTGTTTTTCTGTGAGCACAGGACAGAGAGAAGGGGAGTGGAAGTTGATTTTATTTTTCTTGGATTTCTCAGTTGTTCACATTTCCTATTCTATCTATTTTATTTTTCAACTCAAAGGTGGCTTTTGTTTATCCAAACTGGATGTGAATTTCTTTCCTTATGTAAAGAATAAGTCTGATAGGATGCTTGGTATCAGTACTTGCAGAAAAGGAGTTGCAGATGTGTTGCTGTGGGTTTTTTTAAATACTGATGCATTTTTTAATTTGTTTTTTTCATTTTTTCCTTCAGATTATAAATTTAGACTCTAATTTAGTCATTGGGGTGACTGTATATCAGCCAGGCCATTCTTGGGAATTTAAAAAAAAAACAACAAAAAACCAATTTTCAGCAAAATAAGATTATGGAAACATTAGTGTATGATATTTAGAATACTTTAGTGTATAGGATGTTACTACATAACATTTTAATGTAAATATTTCAAGTTGTACTAATTCTCAGGAGAAATCAGGGAATAAATATCAGGCTCATGCAAACAGAAAGTGTTGAAGCAATATTTATGTAGAGAAAGTACACTATTATTTCAGTTTTTTCTTTAATGACATGTTTTTGAGCATGCCTTTTTCACAGTCCCCACATGAACACAGAAATTAAGATATTTGCAAAGCATTAATACTTTCCTTCTTCTTGTGCATCTACTGATTTTGCACTGATTCGCTGGGTTTGTAGTGTTGAGTATTTTTTCAGACTGCAGCTGAGCCTTTGTTTTCATAGGAATAAATGTGACGGCTCTGCAGGCAGCTGAAGAAACCTGGTGTGTTTGCTTATTTTCTACAGTGATGGATTGCTGCACAGAGACAACCTCCTGGCTGCTGAATAAATGTCTTTAATGCAGTACTTGATGACTGGTGGTGTGCTCTGGGTTTCCACTTGGGGATGTGCTTAAAGCAGCAGAATGTCTTAGGCATACCTGTTAATCTGTCAACCCCTCTGACTGTCCTGCAGGCAGCATGAAGCACCATTTGAAGGCAAACTAATAAGTCAAGAAGTGATGCTGAAGCGCCAGGAAGAAGAAATGATGCAACTGCAAGCTAGGATGGCTCTGAGGCAGTCCCGGCCCAACCTCTACCCAGGGGATGCAATCAGATCCTCAATGCTTGATATCACCAGAGACCCGCTGAGGGAAATAGCCCTGGAAACAGCCATGACACAAAGAAAACTGAGGGTAATGCCCTGAGCTCAGGTGAACTCTTGTTTTCATTGAAACAGAGCAGTGTCTTGACTGAAACTGTCGTATGTGGGATTCATAAACCAGGTCCTGTAATAAACAGTCATCAGCAGATGAAATACCAGGTGTGTGGTGTTGGCCTACTTTCACAGGGTAAAACTGAGATTTGTGGCATTAGTGGCTACAGAGCCTAAAGTGGCATCAAGAGATGCTAAAACAGGCAGCAAGGCTCGACAATTGCATCAATTAAACAGTATAGCACCCTAACAAAGGTAAGGCATAGGTTTCCTCCTCTATTCTGTGGTGTTTTCAGCCACTTCATTTGCATTTCACTTCATGGAATGTGGATATGCCCCGCCAGCATCAGATGTTATTAAATGAAAAAGTTGGGAAGGTAAAGAGAGAGAGGATTCGTTTGGCTCATAAGTTCACCCAAATCCCTGTGCAAATCCCTTTTGATCTCCCAGCTGTCTTGGTATGTGGATGATATACAGAATTACACACAAAGAGGGAGACAGAGGTGTATAGGTAAACAGAGTGTCTGATGCATAGAATGGATGATGGCTTGATGCCCTCTGCTGCTACTTCCGATGAACTGGATTTTGTTGGGGTTTTTTTAAGTAAAGATGGGAAAACTTGAAACAAGACTCAGGAACTTGCTGCCCTAATACAGGGTACTAATTCCTGTATCTGTCTCCAGACCATCACATTAAGATGAGTTAGTTCACTGAGGCTTTAACTAACCAGGTTGGTTCCTCTCTCTGTCTCCCAGCCCTTAAGAGGTTTTTGTGAAGATAAGTTGCATATAGTACAGAGTAGGTAGCAGACAGTTGCCAAATTTTAGCCTTTGGTCCCTCTTTTGCATTTGCAGGGCAAGAGTTGACTGTGCCTCAGCCTGTTGTTCCAACAACACAATGTTCATTGATACTCTCTTGTGATTTGCAGAATTTCTTTGGCCCAGAGTTTGTGAAAATGACGATTGAGCCATTCATCTCCTTGGATCTACCGAAATCTATCTTGGTAAGAAAGGGGCTGTTCAGCCATCTGTGGCAGAAGAAGTATGTTGGTTTAAACCAGCAAATGTGTTTTTATCACAAGTGTGAATGTTGAGAGATTTCACTTCACAAATTGCAGACTAAGAAAGGCAAGAGTGATGACACCAGGCGAAAAGTAAGCGTGATGCTTCTGAGTGGGCAGAAGCTGGAGCTGACCTGTGACACCAAAACAATATGTAAAGATGTCTTTGATATGGTAGTTGCCCATATTGGCTTGGTGGAACATCACTTCTTTGGATTGGCTACTTTAAGAGGTAAGAATAACTGCTAAATTATTTCTTCTGCCCTTACCTCTTTAAGACGTATTGCGCTTATTAAGTCATTGTTTGTCAAGGGAAAACTTTGCTGTTCGATGCCTGGTTTCAGAGTTATAGATCTGGTCTTTATCCTCCAGCTGGTGCAAATACTTGGTTTTCATGTTTTTACCCTTGTGCTTCTTTTTAATGTTTGTGGCAGACAATGAGTTTTTCTTCGTGGATCCTGACATTAAGCTAAGTAAAGTAGCTCCGGAAGGATGGAAAGAAGAACCGAAGAAGAAGAACAAGCCTCCTGTCAACTTCACTCTGTTTTTTCGCATAAAGTTTTTTGTGGATGATGTCAGTCTCATACAGTGAGTGTATGAAATTTTTATTGCCCCTTAAGCCCTGAATTTATGGATGGAAATTGAGTATTAATCAGTACTGGGGTGCCAGAGGTGGTGTGTGGGTTTTTTTCATGGTTTTGTTTTATATTCCTGTTGCAGGCACGCGCTGACCTGTCACCAGTACTACCTGCAGTTGCGGAAGGACATCCTAGAAGACAGGATGCACTGTGATGACGAGACAGCCTTATTATTAGCATCTCTAGCTCTCCAGGCTGAGTATGGAGATTATCAGGCAGAGGTACATCATCAATTTCACCTTTGATCTTGTTGAGCTGTGATCTTGCTGCATCATTACTTTTTTTGTCAGTGGAAGTAGAGTCAGGCTTGAAAATGGAGAAACTGATATGAAATCAATGGGTCAGGATGGAGATTGTGATTCCCTCCCCTTACTCAGAATCTTATGATCCTCTGAATTGTAATGTACAGTTGTTTGTAAAAATGAGTATTTGTGCTTCAGTTGGGCTCATAGGGCAGTGTATGGAGGTGCCATCACAAAAATGTTTTGTGTTGCAGGTGCACGGCTTGTCCTACTTCAGACTAGAACATTATGTCCCAGCAAGAGTGATGGAGAAACTGGATCTGTCCTACGTCAAGGAAGAGCTGCCAAAACTGCACAGCACTTACGTGGGTGCTTCTGAAAAAGAGACAGAGTTAGAATTTCTGAAGGTCAGTGGGCAGCAGTTGGCTTCCTTCATCTGTGGCTTAAGAATTCCCTTGTTAGAATATGGGGGCATGGACTTCAGGTGAAAGCACCGTAAAACAACTCAGGCTCTGAGTAATACTGAAAGGAAGAAAGCTGGAAAGATTTTGTCCAAAAGACACATCATAACAAGCTAAAAGAAATCGTAACAGATGGGAAGTTCTCTCATTTTTTCCAATCAGTAGTCTTAGCTCAAGCCAGCTAAAAGCATCTACTGATCCTGTGTTTTCTCTAAAGGAAGCTGTGTTTATGAGGCAGCACACCCTGCATTCCCCATGTCTTTTGTGCTTTCTATAGAGAGCAAAAGTCCATAAATTACAAAAAAAAATCATTACAGCTAATACTGCATGGTATGAAGATGCTTGGTATGAAACAAGCCAGAAGCATTACCAAGGAGAATTTTTTGTGCAGGATCTATGTAAGATGATAGGAAAGCCATTATCCACAGATAGATTTGGAGGACCCATTGAGAAATCTAATTACGGTGTTTGCTCGTGGGATAATAATCAGGTTCTCCCTTGATCAAAATCAGTTCAGGGAGTGAAGGATTGCTGTTGAAACACCAAATAACCATTACACTGTAATTCCACAGCCACACTACAGTTCCACCATCTCTGAGTATGTGATGGAAGAGGCACTCAGTTGACGTTGTCCATTCCAAATCTGTTGCTTGTTTTATGGAAGTGTTCTTGTAACTTAGCCACATAGAACAAAGTAGGGGACATGATCCTAATTAAAACCTAGAATGGCTGGGGGTGTGGTGGGGAAGCAGTTAGATTCCCTTGTTTGATTCATTCCATCAGTCCCTTACACCAGTACTGAAGAGACAACAGAGGTGAATAACTGGGAGTGCAAAGCGAATGAAACTGCATGTGATACCTTCATATGATCACAGAACTGCAGTGTTAATTTAATTCTGCTTTTAGAAAATGTGTGAAGAGCAAATGCATCTGTCTAGTTACAATTCCTGGCTAACAACTGCTCTGTGCAAGTTTGATTTACTCAGATGTGTTCTCTGTTTGTTTTCCCTGTTTGATTTTAATAAACATTGGGTTCATTTGCTGCAGCCTGGCAAGTCAAGAGGTACTACCAAGTCTTAAAACCCTCAGCTGATGTGTATCTCTCACAATAGCTGTAAACTATAAGTAAGTGGAATCACCAGGCAGAGAGGATTATTTTTGGTAAAATCCATACAATTATATATGCACGTGAAAACATTTACAGAGCGCTATATAGCATTAATATAGTGGTATGAAAACGTGTAATGGCCCTAAATTCATACTCATAGAAGTTTCATTGCATTGATCTGTGCAGTTGTGTCAGAGGCTCACAGAATATGGGGTTCACCTTCATCACGTGCTGCCTGAGAAGAGATCCCAAACAGGAATCCTTCTGGGGGTGTGCTGCAAAGGAGTTGTCATTTTTGAAGTTCACAATGGTGCCCGCACACCTGTACTGCGCTTCCCATGGAGAGAGACAAAGAAAATATCCTTTAGTGTAAGTTGGTCTCTTTTCCTCTCTGTGTTGTCTCCAGTTACTGTAAGTCTTTTGTTAGTTATTTTTGCAAATTAAGCTGCAATTTACAATTTTACAGCATAGTCTGATTGTGTTGTGTGGCAGTCATATTATGGGATTGAAATATGAGTTTTTGTGTTTCAAAGGTTTTATTTTTTTTCCTCAGCTTGCATGGACAAGCATAGTGAAGGAGCACCAGACTGAGAATCCTGTGTTAGAGGACTGGGTAGAGGCAAATGCCAGTACTCAGTATAATTAGGAGATGCACCTATGTTGCTTTCCAAGTTATATTTCCAAGAGTAGTTAAGTTAAATGATAAAAGATAACAGGCTGACACTTGATCTGGACAACACCAGCCAACTTGAGTGGATACACCATAAGATGGTGATCATGTGTCAGTTTTTAATGAGGCATTGAGCTTCAATTGAGCTTTCCTTTATATAGGTTTTGGAAACAGCACCTCTGTCTGATACTTCATTGAAAAGCTACAGCCTATTTCATCTGAGAGATGGTTTTAACTAGAATGGATAAATTCAAGTTAAAAAGTTTCTAAAAAGATAAGTTCAAGACCTGGAACATTAACTGAGAGATTTTGTAATTAGATCAGCATTTAGTTATTTTTATTTTAAATGGCAGCATCCCTTGTGACTTCCTCAGAGGCCTTTGAAAGCCCCATCCTACAAAATGTAATAGTTCTGGTTGTCATTACTCAGCACTAACAGTAACAGAGACAGATTAAATAATAATAAAGCACCTTCTCATCTAGCCCAGTAGCTTTAAAGAGCTACTTTATAAATCTCACATTACCTTTGACTCCTATTTTAATAGAAATCTCTCCTGTCAGTGCATTTTGCTTCAGGCAGGTTTGAATGCTGTAACTGTGCACAAGCAAATACAGAATTCTTTGTAGGCTAAAAGAAATATTTTGTCTTCGACTTTTTTTCTTTCTCCATTGTGTAGAAGAAGAAAATAACTTTGCAGAACACATCGGATGGCATCAAGCATGCCTTTCAGACTGACAATAGCAAGACTTGCCAGTACCTTTTGCATCTCTGCTCTTCCCAGCATAAGTTCCAGTTACAGATGAGAACCAGGCAGAGCAACCAAGACACTCAGGACATTGGTAAGGACTGTGATGCTGTGTTAGTCTTTATTAGCAATCTATATGTATTTTTCTAAGAAGAAAAGCTGAACTGGAGTTTCAGTAATTCTGCTGAGTGCTGCATATGTGTAGAGCTACATTTGGAGGGTTTATACTATGAAAAGACTCTTCTAGCTAAGTTTGTTTAGATTTTGTTTAGGTTTCGTTCTTGCTGGGAAAGGAGGTGGGAGAACACAGAAAAGCTGGCACACAGCAGCTCTTCTAAACTAAAAGGAATGTAAAGCCAGGTCACTAATAGTACTTCCCTCTTTAATTAAAAAGACTTTTGCCTTTTCTTTCAGAAGTATCTTGAAGGTATTTCAATAACAGGACTTTTACCTTTTGCTTAATGTAAAAGGTGTTGGTTTGATAATGTGGAATTAATGGTGTGATCATGGGAGTGTGAGTAAAATAGGGAGCATTCCATGATGCTCCATCTCTTAAGTTGTGGGTACAGTTGTCTTTATTCCACTTAATGTTTGGTGGACCTGGTAAGGAACAACATACTAATCTGTTTCCTTCATAATTCCCATTTCCTTCATAATTCCCATTTCTTCCATAATTTGTGTGCATAATAGAAAATGTAAAGGCATTCTTTTTAGATAGAAAATATTAATTGGATAATGTAATCATTGAAAAAAACCCTCTGTACAAATTTCTTCGCTGTTTGGAGCAGAGCTCACTTGGCTGGTTGGCCTTCAGCATGGTCTGGAGGTGCTGTTTTGGTCAGTCTGCCTCCTCATGCTTTCTTTGTTCCTGTAACCTGTCTGCATTCCAGTTGCTGTTAATCCAGACTTCCACTAGTGTAGCTGGGATGAAGTTTGACCCCATTACTGTGGATATTGTCATCTCTTATTAAAAAAAAAAAAGGAAAAGAGGAAGGGTGGGAGTGGGAAAAGGCATGTGGCAACTATCCACCTGTTTTTTTCCTGTTCTGTTGGGCTCAGCCAACTTCAGGCAAAGAAATAAGACCAAGTGACTTAAAGCCTTTGTACCATTCTCTGATTTAGAGTTAGCTTATCCTGAATTGCAGAGAAAAGCAATGCAGGGAAGGCTTTCTTGGCTAGGCAAACTTGGTTGCTCTTAACAGATGGAGTATCTGTTGTGCTGTGGGAAACTGGAAAACAATAGTTTGCTTCTATGCAGTGCAGATCACTTGGAAATCAGAGGTCCCAGATTCCACCAATCACTTGTAATCAGATGCAAACAAATCAGCATTATGGTTAACTCCAGCACACTGACTATTAAAAGTAAAAACAAATAAAACAAAAATTTTGCTGTTGTCGTAACTTTACTAAATCTAAATCAAACCCTTAATATGTTGGTAAAAGCTGGTAGTTGGAGGCACTCAGCAAAATAGTAAAGAAAATGCATACATAACAGTAAAGAAAAGGGCATTCCAGAAAGGGCATATGGAAAAACAAAAAAAAAAATGAAATGAGGGCTAAGTCAACCTTATAGATGATGAGTTTAGAGCACATGAGAATTTTCAGTTGTGGGATTGGAAGAAGGTTTGAAAAGCCCAAATCCTATACAATATAGTTAATGATGTGAACATATTCATCTGAAATCCATAGAAATTCTGTTTGAGGTTCTCAGAGAGTAAAGACAGTGTCAAGAGAAAGATCTCAGCATATTTTATTAGGGTACTCTTCCTCATGATGGGAACACAGCAAGTGCAGGTGTCATGGATGCCTTCTGTCAGAGTCAGGAAATTGGGATTTGTGGATTTCTGGTTTGATTGGGCAAAACCATTCTTCTCTAGCTTATGTCTGGTGGCTGTGGCTAGAAGAGGTGCTTGGTGTGGATAAGGAAGTGGTAGTTGTACACTAATTCACGTGATGAAAGGACAGAAAAACACCTTCACCATCTCTATGACTGAGGAAGCTGGAGTTACTGTGTCACTTAATTCCTGCCTGAGGTATTGGAGGCAGTAAAGTCTTTTGGAATGGCAGGACTGAGGCTGCATTTGTCAAATACACTCTTTTCTAAATGCCACCGTATTTACCATTAAACTTAGTGGGTGATGTGTACCAAAGAGTAGAATTTTTCCAGTGCAGCTTCCTAAAGCATCTTGTTTCCTACATGTATGTAGGGTTGAAAAAATCCACTGCTTAACCCTAAATCAGAAATATATATGCAGTTGAGGGTTGCTTTTCCTGAGACTTCCCTGTGACCTGACTCTAAGACATCAGTGAAGTTTATGAAGGGTTCAGGTGGCCTGATTTCCTTTAAAGTCTCTAACCAGCCAACAAGTTGCCACAGCTTATCAAGTTCCTGTGTGAGCGCCAAGCCACAAGAACTTAGCTGCTAGCCTAAGGAGGCAGTTAGGGTAATAGAAAGGAGCCTTGCTCAGCTTTGTTCTGAAATAAGAAGGGTTTAGGCTAAGATGTATTATGAATTTGCTTTCAGCTAAGAACATCCTCCCAGACAGTTCCCACGACTCAGCTGACATTAATTTAATTACAGTCCAAGACCTGTTTCTCACTGCTGCTTAAGGGGATCCTTGCTAATGAGTCAAAAAGTCTGGCAAACCCCAGTCAACACCTTCTGTTCCGTGCTAGGAGGTTTGTGGCAGGGGAAGTCCTTAAGTGCACCTGAGTGGACTGGTGCTCTGTAACTGGGCAAAGATGGTTCCAAGCCCTCATGGCCTTGCAGCTGTACTGTAAATGTGGAGGGGCTCGTGCAGAGAAAACAAAGCAATGATGGATGGAGGTTTGGTAGCATATGATAGTGTGGTGATGGAGGAGCCCTATTTGTTCAAATCCTGGAAAAGGCTTTTATAAGCAGATTAAAGGAAGTGTAGTCTTCCAGGTCACTAGGCTTGAGGATATTATTTGTTTTGCAGAAGGAGATGATGTGCCTGTGTATAAGGCACAGCAACCTGACAGAGAATATGAGTCTTCATGCTAATAAAGAGGATAGATATTCTGTGTTTTTGGACTTTGGGTTAGTGCAGTGTCATGAACTCCAAACTTTGCTTCCTGAGCAAACTCCATGGTGGGTGTTTATATATCTCTGATGATAGTATATACTGCTAAGCATCTCAAGAAAATACATTTTGTGTGAGTTGGTTGTTTAAAAAGCATTCTTTACACAAGGTGGTCACACTAGCTCTACTGAATAACTTCAATTGTTTGTGTTTTGTTGATTTGGGTTTTTTTAAAATTTCCACAGAAAGAGCTTCATTTAGGAGCCTGAACCTTCACGCAGACTCTGTCAAAGGCTTCAACATGGGCCGAGCCATCAGCACTGGCAGCCTGGCCAGCAGCACTCTGAACAGACTCGCTGTTCGACCCCTGTCTGTCCAAGCAGAGATCCTTAAGAGACTGTCCTGCTCTGAGCTCTCGCTCTTCCAGCCACTTCCTGGCTCTGCAAGGGACAAGAACGAGAAGAGTCTATGGGAGGAAAGACCCAGAGTTATGAGCAAGTCTTTTCACGATCTGAGTCAGAGTCACATCTCTGTTTACCCCTCGAAGAAAAATGTTATTACTGCTTTGGACTCTTCCCCCAAAAAAATAGAAGATATAATGGGAAGGGTTTTTCAGCAAATGCCAAAATTTGATACTGGATCAGCAACAGGAGCATTAAAGCCAAGCAAGTAAGAGTCTCTCTGACCACCCTGCAGTATCTTTGTGTACAGTCAATGTACATTTTGTATCAGTTTTGATTTATTATTCATGCCATTATTTTATTACATTGATCCTTCCCTCTCCCAACTTCCTCTTCCCTCTGTCTGGTTCCCCTTCTCTCCTTCTCCCCTTTAAGTTCAAAATCTCATGCAGGTTTAAGTAGAAGCCCTGAAAGAAAGAAAAATGAATCAGACTCATCATCCATTGAAGATACCGGTCAAGCCTATGTTGTAGGTCAGCATGCAAAAAATAATATTACTGTATTTACTAACTAACCTCTAAAATTGCTTTGGGTATAATGCTTTGATATATTTATTAAGTGATGGTAATATTCTGATTTGAAAGTGGGGGCAGAGTATCACATGTTAAAGCAATCCTGGCCATTACTGCAGTGAAACCAGAAAAATCGTCCTTTAGCCAGCACCAGTCTGTGCACAGGGGTGTAAAGTACAAGCTGTAGCAGAGCAGCTTCCAGGTTGTCACTTCAGGGGTGTCATTTGATTGTATGGATCTTTTAACAATTTGCCAGTCCTCACACTCTGTTTGTGAAGGCTGAACTTTTTTAGTGTTTTCTGTGGAAAGCATGTGGGAAATGTTTTTTTGGGTGACTGTTCGGCATCAGCTGGCCAGTACCTCTAAATAGTAACTCCACACTTCGGGGTTTTTTTCTTTTATTTTGAGGTTTGGGGTTTTTTTTGTTCAGATATATTAAATTAGTTAAATTTTTTTGCAGTACACTGAGTGTTTCACAAAAACACTTTTGTAGTGAGGTAAGCCAGATGCACTTACTCCATTTTCTTGGCAAGGATTGGAGTGCATGCAAGTAGCCTCACTATTAACTGAAGGAGAGAGTTGACATTAAAAATACAAAACCAAAAAACATTCAGAGCAGCTAAATAGACTTAAACTAACACTAGATTATTAAGCATTAATTTTTAATATCTGTGTGTTACCAGTTTCTGGTTCTAGAAGATTCCCTGTTATAACAGTGGAAATTACAGTGACTGAAATACTTGCAGCCTTAGCTGCTGGTTGGCTTTGCTGTAGTTACAGGACATCAGAAAAAGTGGAAGATGGTTTAGTTTCTGGGGATGGGGAGTTATTATAAACAAACTAGAAAAAAGCAAACAAAGCAGAGTGTGATATCCCATGTCTGCCCCCCAGTACACTTGAAACCAGGACTGACTTGGGAATGATGCATTTTCAGTAGTGAGAGCATAAATGCTAAAGAGTGAGATGAGGCATGCAGGTTCTGTAGTGACTGGTTGCACCCATTTACACCCTGTGCCTTTAGTTTTATGATTAATATGGTCATGTGCTTACCGCTAATCTTCTGGGCAGCAGTTCTGGTGAGGATTTTAGCTACATGTCAGAAAGTCCTGCTGAATCACACTGCCTGCACTGAGGGATATAGGTTCTTTGCATGGTGAAACATATCAGATGAAACACTGGGGTTCATATGTTTGGAGAAGGCCAGGGCTGCTTTCCTAAGAAGCTTGAATTATCTTCCCCCCTTTACTTCAATATATTGGTACATTTATTATTTTATCCTCTTTAAAGTAGGGCCATATTTGCTTGGCTGTGATCATTTCAAAGAAAATATGATTCTATACGCAAACGATTTTAAACAGAAGTGGTTCAAATTGCTTGTTACTACAGCAGCTTATTTGTTCCTTTACAAAACCTTAAAAGAGTCCTGTTGTGTTGGTTTATTAGGTTCAACGTGTTCAATATCCAATATTGTTAGAAAATTCGGTCTTTGACTTAATTGCCTAAGATCCATTACTTTTAAATGAAGTTAACCATAACCATAAGGGCCAAACCTCTGTCCTCCCTTTAATTCATTGCCTTTGCATGAGCTACCATCTATCTGAACCTTAAACTAGAACTAAAGTACATGAGTAATTTGGATTTGCTAATACAAACCTAGTTTTATGTTTATTCATTTTTAAAAGAAGTAGTTTTATATTGTGAATGAGCTCATGTGAACTGTGAAATAATTCTTGGTAGCTTTTGTATTTTTTAAAAAAAATCTATAATAATGTCTAATACTTCCATGCGTATCACAGGTGTTAGCATGAATACTTCAGAAAATCTTCTGTCATCAGCAGCATTAAAAGAGAGTGGTAAGTTGAAAAGTAATTAATTCAGCCAGTTTGTCACTGGCAAATGCTTCACTGTTCCACCTGTCCTGTGTCTTTGGTATTCTTAAGTGCCTCTGCCAGTTAGCTAGATGCCTTTCTTAAATGCAACTCCTAGTATTTACTTTGGATTGCTTCTTGGGGGAGGTTTAGACATCTTTGTGTAGTATTTTTCAACTATGAGTAGTGTCTGTTTAGTTTGGGACTTGAAGGGTACTCTTACCTACCAGATCATGCTCTTGAAAGCTCATTTCCTTCACTTAGGAAATACTGGTTCTGTGTTTTCCTTTTAGTTCTCCCACTCTTTAGGCTTGATGTAGTTTTGTGGGAGAAAAAATTCCTTTTCTGGGTGATGTGCAGTCTGCTGCACTCTCCTGCACCACTTGTTCTCTCCTTGTGCCAGTGTGTGGAGCTCATTAGGTTCCTGCAGCTGTGGATTGCCCCTTCCCCTTAGGGCAAAAGTACCCTAGGCACTCCTGGACCAAATGAATGTCTTCTCTAGGAAGCAAGTCCATGAGTTCAGACTTTCAGCATGTTGGTGTTTCCTGAAGTTTCAGGAGATTGGGCTTATTTATTTGTTTGTGTTTTGTTTGCTTATAGGCAGGTTTTTTTGGTTGTTGTTTGTGTGTGGGTTTTTTTTCTTCACCAAAATATTCTCCTTGGGTCTCTTAAATGCCTGGGTCTACTGCAGCCTGATGGGAAGCCTCAGGAGTCAGAGTTCTACTTTGAGGATGCTAAAATTTTAGAAGAGGTGGAATCAGCAGCCTGTGGAGTTGCAAAATGAGGAAGTAAATTTAAGCAAGAGAAGTTTTAGTAGATGTTTCTAATTTTGGTTGGTTTTTAATGAAGAGACATCATTAAGAGAACTCGTTGAGTAACTTTCAGTAATTTCATATAATGACCCTCTGTTTCTGTTTTACCAATGCGTTTCCATCCTCCCTACCTATGAGCAGAGCACATAAACACAGATCTAAATATTTTCCTGAACTGAGACTAATGAAGTTGAAGATTCTAGGGCTCATTTATGTTGTCCCTCCACAAGATTGTGCTAGCTGCTTTTCTTAGGAGGAGTAAAAGATTTTAAACTGCTGAAGATGGAAGTGAGTTAGAAGAGTTGAGGAGTTGTTTTGCTGTCTTTGGCCATGGCTTAGAAGATGAAAATTGGACCCACTAGATCAAAAAATGGCTTTTCAAGTTATCAGAGAAGTAATATTTTTTAATGGAAAAGAACTTCAAAGTAAACCTGAAGGGAAGTGATGAGATAGTGTCTGATGATGAAATGTTGGCTTTACAGTTGACTCTCTTCAAACAACACAGAACAGAGTTGCCACACCAGAGAGAGAGATCACTTTGGTGAACTTGAAAAAGGATGAAAAGTTTGGCTTAGGTAAGTGGCTTTAAAATGGCTGTTGACATGTATTTCTAGAACTCATAAACAAAACAAAACTTTCTGGTCTGTACTTAAGCATTCATTGTAGAGCTGAGTAAAGCAGTGCAGGTGGTAGCTGTATTTTGAAGACATTTAAAATGCACTCTCTATGATGTTAAACAGCTCTGTTTTTCACTTTTTCTATATTGTAAATGTAGGATAGTATTTATATTATGAACTGGTTATCCTAGAAGTTGGCCTTTTAAAGTTTACGTCTGTGCTCAGTATAGAATTTTATCTCTGTGGAACTTCACAGCTTTGAGCTGTGACAAATGCTTTAAGTGAATGCCTTTATAAAAAAGACACAATAAAAGCATTATGTGCTAATTGTGGAGTATTTTCCTTACTCCTGTACTATCATATGGAGCACTGATATGTGGAGTATTTTCCTTACTCCTGTACTATCATATGGAGCACTGATTTTATGTTTAAGGAGACTGGGAGATGAGATATTTGCATTACATTCCTTCCTCTACCATTGAGTTTTTTTCATAAATCTGCATAATTTTTTCCTGTATGAGTAATGAAACATTTGGTGTCAGTGTTATGCTTTAGGAAGACTCCATAAAGTGTCCTTAAGGATATTGTTCTGTCATTCAAAATCAGACCATAGTGTAAATTTGGGAGGGGAAAAAAAGCCTACAAAAGAATAATACTTAGTGTTTACACAGCACAGTAATGTACAAATTGAGCAAAAGGAAAAACAAATTCAAAGAAATGCATTATTTCTCCTCTTTTTTCCTGATGAAATTATGGTACTTTGCTGTTTTAACTAGAATAGAGAAGACCTGAGATGATCTACTTTATTTTTTTTTTTCCTCTGGAACATTCATCCCAGATTTACATGATAGAATGAGCAGAATCAATTATGAAGCCTCAAAATAAAACAGGGAGATTGAAAACTCAGATCTTAAGACCTGGGTCAAACTTCTATGTGAAACATTGAACAATGGAGAAAACCAGAAATTTTTATGTGATAGAAAACAAATTTTATCTGCTCAGCAAATATACATTTCATGTCACCTTTTTGTGTGTTTCTCTTGCTAGAGTTGTCTTCTGTAGCCTTTGCTGGAGTGTCCTGAACAGACAGACCAAGTCAAAATCAATTGCTTAAAACAAGCATATACAGTAAAGCTTAATCAAAAGGCTTTGCTGTTTATTTCCACGTAGATTTAAATTTGAGGTGTCTGGGTTTTTTTACTTTACATTTATTAGAATGACTAAGCTTTTGTTCGTTCTAAAATATGGACTTGTGTTAAGTTACACAGTGATCACTGACATTTTTGCCTGCTTTGGGCCTTTTTTCCACAGGCTTTCAAATAGTCGGTGGAGAGAAGACAGGAAAACTTGATCTGGGAATTTTTATTCATTCAGTTATTCCTGGAGGGCCAGCTGATTTGGAAGGAACTCTCAAACCAGGTGAATAGTGTAAAATTACATCTATGTCTCTGGGTATCACAGTTTCTTACAATGGTGACCTTCAGTTACCTTCCAGATAATTTCTGAAAACTAGTGATACTTCTCTGTTAAACTATACAAAAACAACACTCATACAAATCAATGTAAAAATGATAATGCTTGAAGTAGCAGAAAAATTGAAATTGCATATTAAGATCAGGGCTTTATTTTCCATTGTCTGCCTTAGAGATACATTTAAATTTAAATGCATTTAATTTAAATTTTTTAAAACTATGTATCCATACTTTGATTTTTGAAAAAAGTGAAATGGAGCCATGTACTATAACCATAACTATAGTGGGAGAGGAGGAGAAAAATGTATTTTTTTTTATTTATTTTTTTCTTCCTTCTCGTTTTAGTCTGTATCACAAACTGAGCTGCATATTGCTCATCTGACTTCTGATTTTGCTTTTTTTCCTGTTTGGTTTTTGGTTTTTTTGGGGGGTTTTTTCAGCAAAAGAGAAGGAAGAAATCATAATATGTAAAGATGTGGCAGAGAGGAGATATAACCAGTTTTTGTGGTCTGGTTTGGGGTTTGGCACTTTTTTTTTAATGTTTAGAGTTCCCTATTGCGGCATCACTTTAAGTTTAGTAATTTCTAATCCACTCATTGTGTACAGGTTGTCAGACCTGTACTCCACGTTGTCACTGATGGGTAAAAATGTAGGTGTTAGGCAGTATCTGAACAAGCCCTTTTGTGCAGGACACCGCCTCATATCCATAAACAGCACAAGTTTGGAAGGCGTCAGCCACCACGCAGCGTTGGAAATCCTGGAGAATGCTCCTGAGGATGTGACACTTGTCATCTCCCAGCCCAAGGACAAGCTGTCCAAAGGTAGGGATCTGCAGTCTCTCCTGTAGGCAACCCTGCTATCTTGGGCTTGGAATTGTGTTCAGAGACAGAATGAAGAGGTGTTGTAGGATAACCTTTGGTGAGGGTACAGTGTGAACGGAGAGGTTTCTGCGGAATATCCAGGCGGGTGAAACCTCACTGGGGTGTAAGCTGAGAAAAGGGCGTTGTGCTGCAGATAAGGTGTTGCCAGCTGCTGATGGCTGTCTTGTCTCCTGGTTTTCAGCATCGTCTAACACTGCTCATATCAGCAATGGAGCCAGGGGTTACTTGAGGAGGCCCTCTTCAGTGCAGGACAACGAGGCAGAGTCCTCTTCAGAAGAGCACAACCGGTGCCGCGGTCACCAGAGGCCTGTTTCAGGGAGCCTCTCTGGATTGTCGGGAAGCAAGCGGGATGGAAGCATGAGCTCCCAGGATTCCAGGACCGAGAGCGCCAGCCTGTCCCAGAGCCAGCCAGCCGGCTTCTGTGGCAAACGTACGAGTGGGAGAGCCCCGCAGGATGCTCAGCATTACAGCGAGCCCCAGGCTGGGGCCTCCAAGGCCATCGAGAAGAGAAGATCCTCATCAGACAGTACACGAGCGAGAAACAAAAGGCCCGGGGTAGCGGAGCCTGTGGAATATTCCGACCGAGGGGATTCTGACATGGATGAGGCCACTTACTCTGGCAGTCAGGAGCAGCAGCCATCTAAAAAGGCACAGTGGATTTCATATGAATATTTCCCATCATTGTGATAGTGGTATTGAAATAGCTGTCTCTGGGTGTCAGGATGTGAGGGGAGAGCAGCCGGGCCTAGCCTGCAGCTAATGCTAGAAGCTGATTTCTAATAGCATGGTGATTTTGTTCAAAATAAATGGAGAAAATCACTTCTGTAACTTGAAACAACTTTCCAGCTTTCCAGTGTCACAGGATGGGTCTTTTTAGAGGCAGATTGTGCTTTGGGATAAACCTATAGTGCACTTGCTGAGGCTGTAGGAAACCTGCTTTCAATTCTGTGTGTTTGTTCAGTATATTCATAATCTAGTCACCACCCCTAGAGGTAAGTTTGTTCACTTGGCAGATAAATGAAGTTTTTCCTAGAGGAGAGTAGGAATGATACAGCTGGAGTGGGTAGCAGCAGAACTCATTGTCTTCTGGGATTGATCTAATCCTTGAAAAACTGCTTTTGTGCATTAAAATTCACCAGTGAGTCATGCTCTTGAGCAGACACAGCTTGCTGCTTCACCTTTCCAAAAGTGCACAATCACAGGTACTACAAATTTATTTCCAGCTTTCAGTGATTCCTCTGTTCAGCTGATGGAGGTTATTCAATTAAATTGTGGCAGCTCCTGCTAATTAATCCAACAGACTGTAGGCTGCTGTCATGCTGAAGAACTGCAGTTTGTGTTCTGTAACCAGCTCACTTGGACAGTAAAGACTTGGCTGCTAAAGGCCAAGCATGTTTCTGTGCTAAACCTGTTCAATGGCAGGAATGGAGGAATTAAGCAGTGAGCCTTGAGTCTTACTAATTGGTACCTTGCCAGGTGGACTCCTTCTGGCTGTGTCTGACTCAAAACCCCACCCTTTAGGGTCTTAGCTGTAAACATCTGTTCTAAAGGCAAATCATTGTCTCTTTTTGTTTGTTTTTTTTTTTTTTTTTTTTTTTTTTTGTAAATAAAGGATTCTTCCTCATCGAATACAGCAAACAAAGTGAATTCTAAAAAGGCTTCTGCAACACTTCTTAAACCTGGAGATATCTTTGAGGTTGAACTAGCAAAAAAAGATAACGGCTTGGGAATAAGTGTCACGGTACTGTTTGACAAGGTTTTTAGATGTTTTCTCTTTTTCTCTACTCCCAGCAACCCATTAAATTACTAAATTACAAGGAAGCAAAACATTTTCTGGAATCACTTTAATTATATGGATTTATTGATGTGTTACTAGTCTTACCAAAGCTGAAAAGTAATACTATTAATTTATATTAATTTTGTTGTCATCTGCCCTTTAAGTAATTCTTGTTTTTTGTTTTACGGTGGAGCCCCAAAGTCCTAATAGACTCTTATCACAGATGCTGCTTTGTGAGTACAAAAGGCAAGATGGTCTTTGTCCCTTGCTACCTAATCTTGTGGCAAATTTGCAAGGAAGGGAGACCCTCCCAGACTGGCACAGCAGGCAGTGGAAGCGGTAGTGCTATTTAAGAGTATCTGTGCACGCTCAATCACGTTCACCATGTTCAGTGTTCTCCCTCTGCTGGAGAAAAGGCAGAAAGCAAAAAACTACTTAAACCCAAATGAGACCTGGCTGACACTGCTTTTTTGCAATATGAGGCAAAAATATATTTTTTAAGACAGATTTCTCTTCAGGCTATAGGATTTTGAAGGTAGATTTATGTTTAGGGCCTGTCATACTGCAAAGTGGCACTTTAGGGAAGAGGAGAATGATTTACAACTGAGATGAACATTTTTTCCACTGCATTTGTTTGTGTAATAAAAAGTAGATCTTAATGGATTTTAGTATTCACCTATTTTCAGTGGAGGAACAATCTGCAAGGCTAGCACTGTTTCCATATATATGGCTAGGACTGTAAGAGGAGCAGAAGGAAATTCTGTTAATTTGGCATCCCGGTCTATTCAAAGTCATGTTCCAGTGCTTGAGACAGCTGGAGGAACAAAGGCTGAGCAGGAGTTGGTAACTGAGCAGCACCAGACCTGCTGTATGCATGCACTGGCTTTGTAGAGATGTTAGAAGATGCCAGCCAATGCAGAGATTTCCCTTAAGGGGTGACCAGGTGGTGTCTTCACTGCCCTTTGCTTTTCCAGCCTCCATTCTGCGTCTGCACTGTTTTGTTGTGCAGTGGTGATCAGGAGTGGTGTGCAGTTACCTGTGGGTTAAGTTCTCACTTGTAATACCGGGTGCTTTGGGAGTGGACATTAACATGCTGTTGGTCTCCCTCTTCTCTCCAAGTCTGTGGAGCAAACTGAGCCAGAATCACACAATGGTTTAGGATGGAAGGGACATTTAAAGATCATCTAGTCCTACCCCCACTAGGCCCTCCAAAAACAATGTCGATTCAGCTTGAGCAGCTTAGACCTTCAAACTTGTCTGAGCCAAGAGAAAGCAGCACTCATTAATTTCCTGTTACATCAGAGAAGTTGTGTTGGAGTAGGACACTGCATGGTTGTGCATCTCCTGCTTTGGCATGCTGTGATCTTGCACATCTCTGAGCTTTGGTGTGCATGCAAGCATGTAAAGTCCAACAAAATGCAGGCATGTTTCTGCTGAAGGACATTAATTTGTGTTTTGTGCATTTGCATTGTGATGCACTGTGTTTGTACAATCTTCCCATCCCAACTTCATTTGTAGCAAGTTGCATGACTGCACAGAACATGCTTGATGTAACAGTTTGGTTTTGATAGTTTCTCTGGTTTTTCTACATGTCAGTAGCCCAAACGCTTCCTAAGAACAGTTTTCCTTGTGTGACACTGTATTTAATTACTAAGTATTCTAACTGCAAAAAGACTAAAAATCCTATTTTTGTTTTCTGTTTAGGGTGGTGTAAATACTAGCATAAGGCATGGTGGTATTTATGTGAAAGCAATTATTCCCAAGGGAGCAGCTGAAGCAGATGGCAGAATAGAAAAAGGTAGGATTTCCATTCTTTCAGTGGGGACTCTTAATGTGAAAAAAGGGCAGAGGACTATCTCTGGGGGACCTGACAATATCCTCTGGCCTGGACACTAGCACTCTCTTTGCCTCCTGTCCTTGTACTTTTTTCACTGGGAAGAAGAGCTGTTTTTCCAAGCTGTTGTGGTTGTCATTTTAAATATTGCCTTGATAGCTAATTCTGCTGGTGAGGATTAAAAAACTAATGCAGAACAGCCGCAGAACCAGCAATGCTGAGGCTGTGGACAGGAAAAATAAGAGATAGCCTGTGGGATTTTTGTTCTCTAAAGCAGCCTATGTTGATGGAGAATGCTTCTCTGTTCCAGGCACAGAGAGAGAGGGCTTTGTGTTACTTGTGGCCTTCTTGCTTGGCACGCCTGGCAACTCAGTACAGAAAATGCTGTAATTGTTATGGCTCTTCTTGTTTGTAAGCCAGGCCACATTCTTCACTAAAGTGAGCATTCCTAGTGTGGACTAAGATCTGTTTTAAATAAAGAGTCCGAGCTTTCTGGCAGGCTGTGTCTCTGATGGTTAACCCTAGTTTTGACATGGGATTATCCCACAGAATCGTTAGATTGGAAAAGACTTTTGAAGCATACAGTTTATTTGCAAAGTTCTGCTTGACTCAGAAGGGAGGGAGAATTTCCTTAAATAACTGTTCTTGTTAGTTCAGACTTGAAGGTTTCTGTGCATTGTAGATGTTTTATAGGTGATGCTCTGCCTACTTTTTCTTAAATTATTAACGTAGGTGACCGTGTGCTCTCTGTCAATGGGATTAGTTTGGAAGGAGCTACCCATAAGCAAGCTGTTGAAACACTGAGAAACACAGGCCAGGTGAGTGGCTGCTGGTTCTACTCCTGTTTGTGGTAAACCAGTTCTCTATGAGTGAAAAGAGGTAAAGGAACCCCGAGACTGGAATTCTCCCCAGTGTTGTCATGGTTACTTTAGGTTTGCTTTCTTAGACTCCTTGGTTTCCTTGCACACCTGAAAATAGCCAGTGAGTGTACACATTCAGAGCTACTGAGGACTACTATTTGTGCTCACTTTATAAAATGTTTTTAATTTAATTCCCTGTACAAATATGCAAGTGACACTATCTTTGACACCTTTTAACACCCTCACAATTTCATAGGAAGAAAACCCTTTCTTACTCTATCTTGCAAGTCCATTAGTGTATTTTGGAGGTCATCATTTAACAACCATTAAAAAATAAGGAGTAATTGGAGGTTATATATGGGAAGTATCTATAACACTTGCTGATGTGAAAGTCTGGACCCTGAGAAGTTAGAAGGAAACACATACTCTAGAATCTGCTATCTCTGTTGACTGTTGCCAGTTAACTGGAGTTTCATCTCTTTAGGTGGTGCACCTGCTGTTGGAAAAAGGTCAGCTGTCAGGGGCCAAGGCTCATGCTCCAGTGACACCACAGTGCACGCTCCCCAGTCAGGTGGGGCAGTGTGAGCCACAGGAGAAGCCATCAACAGAATCTTCAAATGCCAAAGATTACAGCTTTGTCACTGCAGGTCAGGTCACACAGAGCAATTGTCTTAACTGTCAAAGCATCCTGTAGTTTCATAATATTTCCTTCACTTCTTAGGATGGGAATGGAGCGGGTAAGAATCGATACCAAGCCCTTGCACATAATGCAGTCTCTTTCTTTTCGTGCTGGTGTGCTTTTTTTTAAGGCTTCCGTTCACATCTTGGTTACTTTGTTCAATTATCATTAACTGTTTGCTCTCTCACTGTTTCATGTTGTTTCCCAGTTTCAGCAGCCTTAGATGTCAAGGTTGTAGCAAGGTTGGAGTAAAGGGGGTGCTGCTCTATCTGGTGCTGCTAAGGGGTGCCATGGGAATTTAGATATGTATATATAAATGAGTGCTTCTGTGGGTTCTGAAGTTCCTGCCTTAGAAGAGAGAAGACATAAGAGCTAGATGAAGAGAGAAGGATTTGTGCACCTGACTAGAGGTTGACATAATTCAGCCTCTCTTGCTGGTGACTTGTGCAAGTGAAGGGAAACCTACCCAGATGGCAGAACCCCTGCAAATACCTTGGGTGTTCCTACATGGGACCCATCCTCTCTGCCAGGAACTCCAGTTGCTGCTGCCACTAATGCCTGATCGGTGGCTGGAAAGGTTGTGTCACTCTGTGCTTTAAAAGGTTCCTTAACAGACTTCCTAGGGAATAGTCCTTTGGAGACACTCTGCCTTTCTGCATATTCATGTTGTCAGACCAAGCAAGCAGACTGAGAAGTTGTGATCAGCTTTTTGTCCTCTTTAACCTGGAGGGATCTTTTGGGTAACACTTCTGTTCAACTCAGTGAAAGAACCGTGTGGGGGAGAGATTGCACAATGTTGTGTCTGGAATAAGAGCACCAGACACTCTTTCCATGGCCATGTGCTAGGAAATAATAAGTTAATATTTCTTTTACAGAGAACACATTCGAGGTAAAACTCTTGAAGAACAGCTCAGGCCTTGGGTTCAGTTTCTGCCGTGAAGATAACGTGACCCCAGAGCAGCTGGGATCAACTATTGTGAGGGTGAAGAAGCTCTTCCCTGGGCAGCCAGCTGCAGAGAGCGGGCAAATCGAGATTGGGGACGTCATCCTGAAAGTGAACGGGGCATCGCTGAAGGGTTTGTCCCAGCAGGTTTGTACCTATAGTAGTGAAACTCATACTGTGGTAGTCCTGCAAGTCTGCATCTGACAGTGAATCCCTCTGTGGCCCTAGGAAGTCATCTCTGCTCTGAGGGGAACGTCTCCAGAGGTCTCTCTTCTCCTTTGCCGGCCACCACCTGGAATACTGCCAGACATCGATCCTTCACTGCTGGTAAGGTGTCCAGCATGTGATTTTTTAACATTATTTGCTATTTAAGGTTCATTTATTCAATCTTGTGGGTGGGTGGGTTAGTTAAATGCAAGATGAAGATGGAATAATGGGTGGGGGGAGAGTGCTCACAGAAGTGTGGTTCTTGGAATGAATCCCTTAGGACTGCAGTTTTGTGTGAATGTTAAAGGAATGTATGTCTTTAAAAGCTTTTCCCCTCCATTTTGTGACCTAAGACATGAGAAACAGATTGAATACAGTGTTTCTGGGGCAAAGATTTCTTTGCAGGCCAATGTTTTGAAGTTGGTATCAGATAGAAATTGGATTATTTCTGTGAAGGATATTCTACAAAACACCAGCTTGGTGTTGATGTATGTAAAAACAGGGAAAAGGTTGTCATATTTACCTCCTGGAAGTTAGAGGTGTCCCAAAGAATATTTTCAAAATGCTCCAGTAAATAAATTGAAAGAACAGAAGGCCATTTTAGGATACTTGAAGAAGTGGAAATGAAATGTGTTTTAGCAAAAGAGAGTGTAGAGGACAAATTGCCTGAAAATTAGGCTTTCCATAATGCAGGAAAGTATAAAACTAATGGAGACAGGTCTTCAATTTAAGTTTGTCAAGGAATTCATGACAGCACTAAGCCTGCCGGAGTTCAACAAGCATTTGGACAAGGCTCTCAGGCACAAGGTGTGATTTCTGAGGCTGCCCAGTTCTGTTCCAGGGCCAGGAACTGGACTTGGATGATCCTTGTGAATCTCTTCCATCTCAGGATACTCTGATTCTGCATTACTTAAACATTATTTTCAAACAATAAAATCATTCAAGTCTGATGAGATAAGTTTAAATGCATAAACTAGAAGTTAAGTGAAATTAGGATTAGAATGAGAGATAAGCAACTGAGCAAACTAATAACTCAAATAACTACTCAGTTAACAGATTTGTTTGTGATGTGGAATAACAGGAGCTTTAATAGAACTTTAACAGGAATTTTAATAAAACAATGCATACCTTAAAAGTAGAGAAAAATCGAAGTTTCTCTTTACATTATCACAGATTGATGTGTTCATGTACTCAAGAACATGGCCATGAAAGCATAAGTGAAGCTTTTAAAACTTTTCTGTCTGCTGGCTGACATAATTCTTGAGATTGTATGACAATTGGCAAAATTGTTATTCATTCTCATGGGAGTTAATAACTTGGTTAACAGTCACTATTTGGGATAAATTATCCTAGTTTTTGTAGTTTGTTTTGTTGCTTTTTGGTTGACAGCTTCTCTGTTTCCCTCCTCTGTGAGACTGGTTTTACTCCAGTATCTCTGTGAGCCTCAGGTTCTGGTTGGAAGGTGTTTCATGGTAGTTGCATAGAAGACTGCCAGGTATAGATTAAAAGCATCTATCAGTAGGCTTTCTGAAGCAAAAGTATTTTTGTTTTCCTCAGATGAATTTAAAGGTTTTTAGCAGCATAAGTTTCAAAGTTTTGTACACTTTGTCTTGGCCACGTTGCATGGAACTTTTTGAAACTGCTGTGATATGTTTCCACAGTTCAGTCAGTAGCCACTGACTCCTTATTTTTGGTAATTTTGTGCAGTCTTTGAAACTTTCTTTTGTCATCAGAACTGGATTATGATGAATTAAATGCTTTTTCTCTTGTAGACCCCCATCCATTCGCCCCAACAAGTTTTTCCAGAGGTGAGCAGGGAAATTTCAGGTCCATCAAATGGAGAACGAGGTGACAGCTCAGATGAAAATGAAACTACTGATCTGAGCAAGAAACGGCTAAAATCCCCCTCCAGAAGAGACAGCTACAGCGACAGCAGCAGGAGTGGTGATGAGGAGGTGATGGAGTCAGCAGCACGGGTGGGCCTTGGCTGGAGCTCGGCGCTGTACCACAGCTCAGGTGAAGCCGAGGCACGGGCACAGAGTCAGTATGAGGCACACCCTCCTCAGAAGGACACTGTTCGCACCATCCTGTATCCTGATCAAGAGGCTCCTGGCAAGGCAGAGCTTGAGGACAGGTATGCTGCTGATAATGATCCTCATCACCCTGCAGAAATGTTTATAAGAGTATGTTATTGGACCTATTCATAGAAATACTTCTTTTTGTTTGTGCCTGATGTTACCACATCCATGTTAATAAATGACTGTTATGCTACTCCTGTCTCTGAGCTGACTTCACACCTGGGAGAAATAGATTCATTACTCACCCAGCTGGAAAAAAATGCTGAAGAATATGAGCCAGTAATACACTATTTCTGTCTTTCAGGAGCATAAATGTCCTGCTGTGGTTGTTTTAGCCATAATTTTGAGAGCGGGTAGAAATTAGGCACATTAATTAACAAATGGCATAGCTGTAATTTATACTTGCACTAATCTGGGTGTGAGCCTTATAAAGGGCAAATGCATTGCCATTTGTAATCAGTTAATGGCAGCTGCTCATACCAATGTCTGCAACCATTTTGTTTCTGTGTGGGCTCTTGATGAGCAGATGCATTTCCCTCTGAGTACATGGAGACATCCATCTCTACATAGGTAGATGTGTATATGTCCATTTCATGGGCTATTTCATCCTGGAAACCTTGGCATTAAATATTTGCCTGTCTCTCAACCATGTACTCAGAGGAAGCTTAAATGGTAGAAATCTTGTTTCTGCTCTTTTAGTTTCAGGTGGTTGTTCAGAGGTCAGAGAATAAATTGAGGTATTAAGGGCATGAGGAGACCTTGTTCTTTACTGCATTTATAACTGTGAATCCCAAAGACTTCCTGCTCCTGCTGCAAGATGGAGCCTATTTTTGAGGCTTTTCTGAGAAAGCTTCTTGACACCACAGAAATATCTTACATATCAGAAGGGATTTCCATATCCTCACATAATCTGTTCAAACATTGAAAAAAATTGAAATTAAATCTTGATACGTCCCAGTTGTGAGGGTCTTCCAGGTTATAAAGCTCTTCTAGCCAATAGTCCTTTTTGACAAGAAACTGCATTTTTCTTATCCCTTCTTTGGAAGCTTTTCTCCATCTTTCTTGGTACTCCATGATTTTTTTTTTTTTAGTGCAAATGAGGCAGATCTATATCTTTCAAATCAAAATTAATGCAAATTTAAATGGGCAAAACACATGCATGTGTTCAGTTTCAAGATAAGCTCTATGGTGTTGTGCCTCACTGTAGGAAAATACATTCACTTATTTTGTTCTGAATAATTATGGATGTGTTGAGATATTTAAAAATACAGAGCCTTTCTGGCAGCTAGATAAGGGTGTCAAATAAGGTGTGAGTTTTGATATGTGCCGTCAAAATTTTGTTTAATTCATAGACCTTTGGCCCTGTGTTATTTCCATGCAAAGCATTATTTGGCTCTGTCTGAACTCATTAGAAATGCTTATTTGAAGCAGCTAAGCTAAGCCTGATAAGAAATATGTCTTTGTTCCAGGCTTGAGTCCCACTTAAATCAGGAGGTGAATCAGTTGTCTGCTTCCAGCTGTCTTAAATTCAGTAAAATGTTGGTATTTCTTCTGATTGCCTGTTTGTAAAGTTTGCTGTTTTGTCCCCCTAGGAAGTGGAGCTCCGAGTGACTCTGACAAAGTCAGAAAAGGGCAGTCTGGGTTTTACAGTGACCAAGGGTAATGATAGTGTTGGCTGCTACATTCATGACATTGTCCAGGATCCTGCCAAAAGCGATGGGAGACTACGGCCTGGAGACCGACTCATAAAAGTGAGAGAATTAATGTTTTCATATACAGGGGTTGCGTGAAAAGGACAACTGAGTCCAAAAATAAAAGTGAACTGTGTTGTAGGGCAGGTCAAATGTGGTTAAAGGACAAAGGCACACACCTTCTGAGAAGCATGGTTCAGTAGCAATTGGGAACAGCAATAAATGTGTCTTCAGTGATGCTATCTTACTTGGGACATAACAAGGACACCTGTGTTGCTTTCGTTGTTGCAGGTTAATGACATCGATGTCACTAACATGAGCCATACTGATGCAGTCAATTTTCTCCGAGCTGCCCCAAGGACTGTCAGATTAGTGCTAGGACGTGTTCTGGAGTTACCAAAGATGCCAGTGTTGCCTCATTTGCTGCCTGACATTACATTAATGTGCCATAAGGAGGAGCTAGGTAACATGGAATTAATCTGCTTTTTGCTCTAAAGAAAATCTCCCCTCTCAGCTACAAAAAAAAATTGATTTTTATTGTTTTCCCCTTCTTTCCCTATGAAGGTTTGTTGTTATCAGGAGGCCAGGACAGCCTTTATCAAGTTGTGTATATTAGTGACATTGTCCCCAAATCAGTTGCTGCCAGAGAGGAGAGTCTGCGTGTACTAGATATTATCCATTACATTAATGGAGTAAGCACACAAGGAATGACTCTGAAAGAAGCCAAAAGAATGCTGGAAACTTACCTTCCAACAGTGGTGCTCAAAGCAACCAGGTGTGTTCTGGAAGCAAATGCTTCCCGGTGCTTTTTGGTTTCCTTGCATGATTGTATGAGTGTATGTATGAGTATATGAGTAAAACCTGTTCCTGGTATGACAGGAAATTCACCACACATTACTGAGGACTGACTCCACAGAAAGGGTCTGTAAATTCACAGCTTTTTTGGTGCTGCAGTGGAGCACAAGGGTATGTGGTACTTGCTGTGCTTTGTGCTTCTTGGGAACACAAGGCTGTGTCCAGCTGTGAGCTACAAGTGTTCAAAGAGACCCCATGCAATCCAGGAGGAATTAGTAAGAGACCTGCTGTGGCATTTGGACACTCACAGGTCCATGAGGATGGATGGGATTCATCCAAGGATATGGAAGGAGCTGGCAGGAGAGCTCACCAAGCTGCTCTCCATTATTTGTCATCAGTCCTGGCTCACTGGGGAGGTCCCAGGTGACTGCAGATTGACCAGTGTGACACCCATCTGCAAGAAAGGCTGGAAGGAGAATCCAGGGAACTACAGGCCTACCAGCCTGTCCTCAGTGCTAGGGAAGGTCACAGAACAGATCACCTCTAGTGTGACTACACAGCATGTACAGGACAAGGGGATGGGGCCCAGCCAGCTGGGGTTCAGGAAAGGCAGGTCCTGCCTGGCCCTCATGACCTGGCTTTCATGACTGGGTTTCCCATCTGGTGGATAAGGGAAAGGCTGTGGGTGTGTCTACTGGATTTAGTGAAGTCTTTGATACTGTATCCCACAGCATCCTCCTGGAGAAGCTGGCAGCCTGTGGCTTGGAGAGATGCTCTTCACTGGGTTAAAAATTGTCTGGAGTGGGAGAGCAATGGTGAATGGTGCTAGTGGGGTTTCCCCAAGGATAAGTATTGGGGCCAGTCCAGTTTAATTTCTTTATTGATCATTTGGAAGAGGTTATTGGACGTGTCCTCACTCAGTTTGCAAATGACACCAGGTTGGTTGGGAATGATTAGCAGTTTTACCAGTAGTACAGTTTTCTTCAGTATCTGATGATTACAGTGATTTACTTATTTTTTTAATAAATATTCTTGTAAATATTTTTTTTCACAGAGATGGTCATGCAGTGTTCCCAAAACACAAAAGCTCTGAGAACTCAAGTCTGTGGCCAATGAAAGCTAATGGTAAGATTTGTGTGCTTACTCACAGCAAGTGAAGTTTATAAAGTTATATGAAGTTTATAAAAATAAAGGAACTGATATGGGCTGTAAGATACTATCCTTGTCCAGCTTATTGTGACCAGCTCCAACAGGAGTTTGCTTATCTTTCCTCTACAAGCTCCATGAAAAGAAATTCAGCAATAGTGTCTTTATGCTGTCATTTCTTGTGTAGTTTAGAAATTCCCTCTAATATAGAGCAGAAGGGTTCCTTTGAAAAAGGACCCAGATGTCAGATAATATTAAAAAATAAAGTAGTCAATGATGGGTGTTTGTGTGGTTGTATCTTCTACATTTTGAGGAAAAGGGAATCAGCACTGTTCTCGAAGGTGCATGTTTCCACTCTAAGTTGTTAAATTATTTATCAACATTTCTCTTTGCTTTGAGTTAATTACTTATATTAGCATTCATGCTTTCTGATCCCATTAAATAGAACGTTCAAAAAGCCATCATATGAAGTGTAGTCATTCAGATAGAAGTTTGGCAATGCACAGAAACCAGGGAGAAATGCTACTCATGTGCTTATTTTATAAAAATAATTTATGGGGGATAATTTAATTTCAGAGAAAAAGTTGTTGTTATTTCCCTATTTTTGTTTAGGTTGCTCCTGTGGTGATCCCTGTGATAAAACAAAAAAGTCAACTGATGCCTATGGGCCCAAGGTAAATGCTTCTCTCTTGTCCTTGTTACCATTAACCAGAGAAAAGAATATTCTTCAAACACTTTTAAAACTAAATAAATGAATGAAACAATCTGTTGATCAAAGTATATGAACCCACTATTATCAATTGACATGAATAAGCAGTGATCATAGTAAATACGTTTCTTTAATTGGTCTACTCTTTCTTTGTCACTGCCTTGTTGAAAGACAAATTGTCTTATGAGAAGGACTCAAGGCTATCATCCAGAATACTCCATTCAGCCCACAGTTTCTGCAGTTACTATATTATTTCATATTATATTCACTAGGTGTTTTTCTTTCCTTTTTCCCTTTAGTTTTTCCTTAGAAATGCTGTGTTGTGGCACCAGAAGTTCTGAAGCTTGCATACATTTTGTAGGGGTTATAATAATGTTAACTACTACTATATGTTCTCTTGTAGAAGCTGCTGCTTCATCAGCATGTGGGGGTTTTTTCTTAGTTGCTTTAATTTTTATTTTATTTGCTCTTGCATGTGTAACTTCCCACCCATTACCCAGGTATCTCAGATGATATGCATAGAGGTTTTATTTATTGCTGAGGAGAGATGAGAACTTTTTAGTGTTTTTTTCTGCTTCAACAAACTGCCAGGCTCTTTGAGAGTTTATTTGTACTGTTCTTCGTTTTCTCAGGTCAATGGCAATGGCATCCTAGGACCTTCTCAGGAAAATACCGAAAACGATATCCATCACACGAAAGCATTAATGAACCTTTCAGGAGCAGAAGATGCACCTTCCCTTGGTTTCACCAATCAGATGTCAGATTTTCCTAAACACATTGACAAATCAGGTAAGAGGAGGTGAGATGGGGACTGCATTATTCTGTCTTTATTGTACCAGTGCAAGAGAATCGTGGCATGGTTGAATACACTCAAATAAGTAAATGTGAGGCTGGCAGTCGCTTTTAGAAGGTCATTTCCAAGCCTTGTGCTTTGCTTTATAGGAGTTAGTTGATGTTGAAAGTAGATTTACAGAAATTGGATTTTCTGTTAGAGAGAAATAAAGGAAGGCCATGGTAACAGCTAGAAATAATGTCTTGTGTCTACCCCTTTAAATTAGTTACCCCAAACTATTCTATATTGGGAAAACTTGTCATTTTGCACTATTTGTCTTCAGGAACAGAGTTTCCAGATGATGAGTATTATGATGAGGATGACCACAATGAAGTTGTCCAGTATCTGTTGGATGTTGTAGATGAGGAAGCCCAGAACCTCTTAAATCAGAATAATGTGACTTCAGAGGCTCAGAGTCTTCTACATCTCAAGAAGGCTGCATCAGAAAATCACCTGCCAGGTAACATGAGCCATTAAAAAAGAACATCACTGACAATAAACACTTCGAAACAAGGTGCCAAGTAAGCAGTTGATTTGTCAGCCGGGAGAGTTGATTGACATTGATTTGATCTGTGAACTGGAAGTTTCCCAAGTTGAATGCAGACAAATAGTTGCTGATTACCATGAATTTGAGATGCAATGTAATAAGTGCAGTTCTAGTTTGAAAAATCTGAATTTTGCTATAAGTAATCTGGGAAAATTATTCCTATTCTAGAGTTGTCTCTTGAATGAAATTCCTGTTGTTTAGGAACCTGGTCCTGCAGCTGCAGTCATATTAGCGTGCTGAAGCATTTCAGCATTTCATTTATTTCAGATTGCACAACTTGGAAATGTGTTGAGATCTCTAAAAACCAAACAATTTAACAGCCTGCTTTGTCTGTTTTAGAAAGACTGGCTCTTTTTCAGTACCTTCTTCTGATTGTACACTTTTCTCTTCCTTCTTTCCATCTCCTCAGTTTTACTTGTTATTAACTCAAATGTAATGAGGAGTAGGAATTGTAGTTCCTTCGTGGTGTCACACCATGTATACATGCTCCAAAAATTCAAGCAAGATACTTGCTACTTCTGTAGAGATTCCTTCTAAAACTCAAGATACCCAAAATCATAATTATTACAGGTCATGACTTAAAGATCTTTGGATTATTGTCGTTGGTCATTGCAATTAGAAGTTAGGGATCACTGAGGTTCTGGCTGGGCAAGGACCTCAGCTGAGGAATATAATTGGAGCTCCAGTACTTCCAAATTCCTGTAGACTGTCCTTTGTGACTGAAGATGAATTGAATCCATAGGGTATGGCAGCAGAGTGCTTCCATAGCAGACAGATACAAGTCAGATTTTTTTTTTTTCTGGCATGTCCTATTTACATTTTGTTAATACACAGAGTAAGTAGAATCCTGGTTTGGATCTACTGCTCATCTAAATCTAACTGAACTGAAGAAAAAACATTGGCATGTGGAATGTGATAACTTAGCTGCAGGCTGTGCACCAGTTATGCTGTGACACAGATATTCTGTGCAAACAACCTCACATATCATAGCAGCTGTTCCAGTTATAAAATAAAGAAACCTAAAGTCTGATTATTCTGTACAGTAAGAGCTATTTTCCAACACACTGGTATCAAAGGGACTCAAAAAGTGTTTCTTGGTTTTTCTGGCATCTGTGTTCCCTGTCTAGTGCCAGACAGGTGGAACAGGATTCACATCTGAGAAAGGGTGGCTCCTGGGCATTTTCTGGTATGTTTATCCTATGTTATGTTTATGTTACCCTGATTTTCCTGTTCAGTAGAGATGAATGGAAGGGTGACAGAAGATAAGTCTGAGGACACAGACTGTGATGGGTCATCTTTACCTGAAGATTTTTCAGAGGTAGGATGGCAAGAAGCTGGCAGATGCTCTTTCAGTTCTTTTCCTTGTTGGCATAGAACTGGTGGAAGTAACATGACATGTTCTTTAAATGAGAACATTACTGTAGGTAGTAGCTTTAAATGGCATATAAAGACTTACTTTAAATAGCACTTGATTATCATAAATGACCTATATAAGAGAACAAAGCATATAGTTATTTTACACTATCATATGAAGTCCATCAGCTTCTTTTTCAAAAATAAGTTTTTATATTATTTCATATTATGAAATGGGTGGTAATAAACTACCTTGTTAATGTTACTTCAGCTGTTTAATCTAAAAGATTTCAGTGACTTCTGCTCAAAGAAGGGAAGCAGGCAGAGTGAAAATTTAATGCTGTGTAGACTTCACTGTGTCCAAAATGTGGATTTGAAATTTCTTTTCCTGCTGCTGGAATATCTTGCTAGGATAAGTTCATTAGCTTGAATAACTTCTATATGTGATTTACTCTCTGTTATTGTGTGTCCTGTTTTACATCAGTCACTGGATGCCTGGGTTTTGTCTCTTGTTTCAAATCAGCAGAACTCTGTCTCTCCAGTGCATCCTGGTTCTTGCAGCTTTCTGTCCAGCTAGTGGGGCTGAAAATCAAATCAGGAATCTGGCTCTGTGTCAATGTGCTCTGGGGAGAGCCATGAGTAAAATTGTCCCAGGATGGCAGGAAAAGCAAAAAGAAAGCATAAATGATTTTGTAGAATTTTTCTTGAAAGAGGGATGGAAATGCCTTCCTCTGTGCTGAGTCTTCATTGTCTGTTCAGGAAGGTGTGAATGAATAAATGTGTGTCATTTAGAAGTAGTGCCTTGTTATGTTACATATCCACAGTATAGGAACTGTGGCTTGGCAGTTCTGAGGCAGAAGTTTTCACTATCAAGCTTACTTCATAAAGGGTTTCTAAGTATTAGAAACAAAAAAAAGCCAACTGGGGAAAACTTAGGTGACTCTACTGCTGCTGTGAGTCAGGAATGATTTTAATATAGCTTTTTGGCCTTGTTACAGTAGAGTATCTTTCCAAGTGCTCAGTGTTCTCGTCCTCTGTTATTTTGGGTTAATGAGATGTCTAAAAGAGGAAAGTCTTCCATTATGTGCTGCTTTGAACTTAGTACCCTTCAGAAATAGTCCCTGTAATTGTTAATTGTTTAAAATTTGCAGTATGTGAATGTTGCAACTATGTCTTTTAATGTGTTTTGAAATACTACTTCTTCTAGCCAACACCTGTAAATGGTTGTGAAGACTATTGTGAAGTAAAAGCTGTACCAGAAAGGTAAGATTTATTTTCTGGTGTTGCTTGAAAGCAAACTTGTGAAGTCTGGAAGTCTGAAGTGTAATATGTTAGAATGAGAGAAAAACAACAACAAAAAACCCAAGAAACCACCCCCAAAACAAACCAAATAAAATATCTGTGCAATGTCTTTGTTGAATTGTTCTCTTGGTCTATTCCTTACTTAAAAGGTTGTATTTTGCCTGAATACTAATCAGCTTTCTGTGATTTACTATGCCCTACTCTTACTTGTTCCTTTGATACATGATTGTAGCAAGTAACTGGACTGTGTTCAGATAGCTCCATATAACATAATTTGCTTTGTGCTAACAACTTGGTACTTGGATGTGAAGAAAACATCCAAACAGTGCTGTCTTCAGTTCAAATCTATACAAGCTTCATTAGTGTTACATCTTCTTGGTTTTAGACCACTGCAAGTCAAATGTAGATTTTCTCTGCTCCATCAGCTCCCATTTGGATGCCTGGGCCTTACTATTTTTATCATGCACAAAAGCATATGCCTGACCAAGTTACTAGCTAGCTGTCCCTTTGAGCCACTTTGGACTTCAGATATTCCCAAGATTGTTTTTCTTAGTGAAATAATTTTAGTCTAAGTGAAATTTCAGTGAAATTTTTATGTTGTTAAACTTGTGGGAAGTTTGGGGTTGATACTTGGCACAAGCAGTGACATTATCACCTAAAGTACTTAATACATTCATCAATATCTTCAAAGCTAGAAAACTTGGAATTGAAAATAGATACTCAAGTGTAGTGAATTGTTTGAGTGGTCCAAATCTGCTATTGGATGCTATTCAATTGCTTAGCCTTTGAAAAATAATTGCAGTGGTAGTTATTACTAGTGGGGATGTAAAAAAAAAGGAGGGGTGGGGGCAAAAAAGTTAGGTTTTTTATATCATTGGTATCATTTCAGTCCAGAAATAATTGTTAGCTATAAATTACTTTCTGATGGGGTTTGTTGTTTTTTGTTGTTTTTTGTTGTTTGTTTGGGTTTTTTTTTTACAAGGTTGCAAATGTGTTGTTTCTAGGTGTTCTTTCCTTACTTTCATGCCTTGCCCTCTTATAGATCCCCTCCACAGCCTTCCTTGAGCCAGGCAGATGAGGAGGAAATCACATGGGGAAGCGACGAGCTGCCGATTGAATCAGTCAGCCAGGAACGTGTAAATAAAGGCAAGGACATTTAACATAATCAGTGGAAAAGCTTCAGGGTCACCTTAAATAGACAGAAGTGAATTTTGAGACCTCCTGGGTATGTTTTGAGGGTGTCATGGCAGGTATAAGGGGGATTCTAACAGCTCAGCAATGCACTGGGAAGGATCTCTACATCTTTGTGTGGTGTGTGAGAGTTAACAGGAGCTAGTATTGGCAACCTAGTGTCCGTAGTTGTAAAAGAGCTGAGAGCAGCTGAGATACTTACTTCCTTCCTCTGTATCTGTCTCATAAAAGTTGTGACAGTAAATATATGTTTGACTGTGATTAGATTGATATGTCATGTGCTTCACTTACCAACTACCCCATGCTCAGATTAGGCACTACTTTTGTCCTGACTGTCATTCTTCTGGTGCTGCTCAGTGTGGCAGAGTGGAAATCTGTGCAGTGTTGATGTGTTTGGCAGAATTTAGTCTTCCCTTTTTTTGAGCTAGCATTAGAAATGTCATTTCTTCAAGTTCATATACAGCAGTCCTTTGCATTTATTGATAGAAAAAAAGATAATCCATGTGATACTTCAGACTAAGTAGATTTAGGACACTTCTAATTGCAATACCAATTGATTCTTGGTTTATGAATTTTGTTGTGCTTCAGAGAAGCACTGAAGAACTGATGGGAGGCAAGATGTATTGGAAAAAAAAGTCCTTCCAAGTGATAATTGTAAGATATGCTATATACATGTTGAGTATTAGTGCTAAAAACAAGTCACAGGCTGTAATGTGGAGAGTTCTGAATTCATACCTGTGTGTGTTCATCCATTTGTATAGGTTATTGTGTGAACTTACATTTAAAATGTACTTGAAGTTTGTTTCAATGTATTTGTTGGAAGTTCAGGAAAATACCCCCTTTAGTTACTGGAGTCATCAGAGCTGATTTTGTCTTGCTGGTTTTGCTAGTCAATTTGGTTTTGCCCTTCAAACTGAGAGAGCTGTGTGTTCTCTCTGGTGTATGGGGGCATTCAAGAGAAAACAGGTAGTGCAGCAGCATGCAGATCCAACTGTGAGCTACAGTTTATGTTTCCCTGGTTTTACCTATTTATTTATATTTATATCTTCTGCTAGATTTCCCCCTAGTGACAAATGAAGAGATCTCTGCACTCCCTACTGTGAATGTGCTCCCTGGAGGCAAATATTCAGGAGCCAAATTGAAGTCAGTGATCAGGATGTTGCGTGGATTGCTGGAACAGGGAGTCCCTTCTAAAGAGATTGAAGTGAGTAACTCTTTGTCCTTTAAAGTCCTTTTTCCCAGTATGAAACAAAAATAGAATGGCTGGATCATCACTGTCTTGAATACCAGAGCTCTTTAATTGGAAGCTAAAAAGAGATGAAAAGACTTAACACCAAAGACTTCTCTCCCTTCTCCCACAAGCTGCTGAAAGATGAGATCAGTTTGAATTCAGTTCATGAGTGTTTTTACATCATTCTTACTTCTGGTAAATTACCAAGTGAATATGATGTAAACAGGCATAGACAAAGGCTGTGAAGCTCAGCTGCTGAATGTGAAACCAGTCTTTCCAAAGGCTTAAGTTAGCCATGTTACATGATCTCTTTTTTGAGATGAGATAAAATATTTACTGGATACTCAGTGGGGTTTGGTTTTCGGTTGGTTGTGTTTTTGGGGTTTTTTTGTTGTTAATTTCATTTTCTTGGCTGTGTAAAAAATTCCTTCCTGTGACTGCCTTATTTTCCATATCCATCTTAGGATTTGAGTTTTAATTATTCTGTTTGTTAATGACTTAATAACATAACCACTCTTACTACCAAACAGTGCTTTCCTAATGCACATGTAATTGCTTCTTAACAGAACCTTCAGGAGTTAAAACCTCTGGATCAGTGTTTGATTGGACAAGCAAAGGAGAACAGGAGAAAGAACAGATATAAAAACATACTTCCTTGTAAGTCCTAACTCATTTGAAATTCCCAGTTGATATTCTGTCACCACCTATGTGGTCAGATGGATTGGATCAGAGGTGGGATGGTTTGATTCCTAATCTTAGTAAGGATGAAATTAAAGCAGCATCTATAAAGCAGTTAAATATCAGTGAAAAATAAACTGCTGTGCTGTGGTAGGTAGGGATGGATGTTCACAGACTTTTCAGTTGTTTCAGTAGATCCCATGTCTTAAATAATGTGTACATGTGGAACCAGACAAGGCTTTTTACTGTTTTACCCATGCAGAATTGACAGACGTGTACTATTACCAGTGAATTTCCTGCCATAAAATATTCCTGCCATAAAATTCTGCTTGTTCGCTGTTGAGAAGTAAGATCTGACAGAGGTTAGTTCTATGTGAGAAAAACTCAACCTCTGCTTTTTAGGGTTGCTGCAGTTCAAACCACTTATCCCACCAGTCTGCTGATTTATATTTCCCCTCCTTTTTCTTTATTGGAAATACCGACTAGTGCCCTAAATTAAGTACTTAAGTGATTTATTTCTTTCAAAGCAAGCTGTGGAAGCATCTGTAGAGGTAAGGGCTGTGTGAAAGACCCAGCACCTGCATTGCATGGAGGTCTGATGATGTGCACACCTAACATGAGTTCCTTCTGTTGTGTGGGGGTTGCAGATGACACCACCAGAGTCCCTCTCGGGGTTGAAGGTGGGTACATCAATGCCAGCTTCATTCGCATGCCCGTGGGGAATGAGGAGTTCGTTTACATCGCGTGCCAAGGACCTCTTCCTACTACTGTAGCAGATTTCTGGCAAATGGTTTGGGAACAAAACTGTACTGTGATTGCCATGATGACTCAGGAGGTCGAGGGAGAAAAGATAAAGTGTCAGCGTTACTGGCCAGATGTGCTCAATAAAACCACCATGATCAATGACAGACTACGCCTTGCTCTTGTGAGACTTCAGCAGCTGAAGGGCTTCATCATCAGAGTGCTGGAGCTCGAAGAGATTCAGGTGAGTGAATCCAATTCTGCATGCTTAGAGTTTTTTCTGAGTGTTGCCATATTTATCCTTATACTTCTGGCTTGCCTGCTTTCACTTGCATTGCCTACATCAAGTGGCAACCCAGGACTTCTCCTCTTTGCCCAGTGATCATTACTGGGCAGCTGTTTCTCATTGCAGCTTGTGCTGCTCTGTAACCTTTATAGGAGAAAGCATTTGGGCCAGGCTGTGATTTCATTACACTAATGAGACTCTATATTTTGGCTCCCAGTGGCCACAGAAACATATGTAGGGATATGAAATTCACTAATAAATTCAGCCTGGCTTATTGACTCCTCTGTGTGATCAGCTCAGTCAGCACAGTGAACCTTACACTTTTAAATTACTTACTAGTTATTTCTAGTTTAGCTCTTGTTGTATTGTATTACAAAGCACCTTCGCTGGGAAAACCTCTGTGTCCTGAGACTTTTCTTTGGGAACTCAAACTTCTTTCTTTTGATTCTTGCCAAATGGTGGTGTTGTTTCTGAACCTCAGACGGGGGAAGTGCGGCACATTTCCCACCTGAACTTCATTGCCTGGCCTGACCACGACACCCCCTCCCAGCCAGACGATCTGCTCACCTTCATCTCCTACATGCGACACGTGCACAGGTCGGGACCCATCATCACCCACTGCAGCGCCGGTATCGGGAGGTCGGGCACCCTCATCTGTATAGACGTGGTGCTGGGGCTGATCAGCAGAGACCTCGATGTGAGTATCCCCAGGGATGGGCTCCATGGTGCTTCTGACCTGCAGGAAATGTGTTCCACTGAATCCATGCAGTCTTTTAAAGAGCGTGCCGTGCTGCTGGCGCGCTGTGTTTCCTTGCTGGTGATCCCAGCTGGGGAGAGCTCTAATATCCAGCGGCTCTTGGGTTAGGGAACTGCAGCAACCGGGTGCCACTTGAAGTAAGTTGCAAGGACATGTTCTACCACACTGGACTTCTGGCATGTGGTGTGAGAAAAATGATGTTGCCATGATGGATTGAGCAATCGGTGGAAAGGGTGTGTAAATTAACTTTTCCAGCACAACCAGGGATTGCTTTCTAGGGTGATCCACAGGAGGGTGCTAGCTTCCTTGTGTTTATGTCCTTCATCAGCCTAGGGTAGCAAAACTGAATTTCTAGGGAAGACGAGCTATGTCTTGCTTATCTCAGTGGAGTTTCTAAGCACCCTGTGAATGTCTAAAATTCTTTTCTGCACACTTAGCTTAGAGTAAGCAAGAGGGACGGTGTACAGAAGAACACAAGAGAAGGTGGGGGTGTCTGATGTCGGGCCACATCTGGATTGCCCAGAGACAATCCAGTGCTGATTACCTACCACTCAGACATAGGCTCTAGTGAATTATTTGTTTCACTACTAATGTACCTAATTCTATTCCCTGGTTTGATGCTGGGGATGCTTCTTTGTTCTGCATGTGTGTCTTTATTGAAGGTTTAACTTGCTGTTCATTTTGGTAGTTTGACATCTCAGACCTGGTGCGCACGATGCGTCTGCAGAGACACGGAATGGTTCAGACAGAGGTGAGTCTGGATTACCCAGGCATTCGCTGAACCATCTGAAGTGCCAGAACTTTGTAATGCACACAGCAATTGTCTTTGTGCACTGTAATGTGCCATTTGTGTCACAAGAATTAAATCAGATGAGTAGCAGGATGTATTTAACATTTATAAACTCAAGCTGTTTTTAACATGCTGTATTATTTTGAACTGTGTTTAAAAACAATTGCAAGTTTTCATCTTTAAAACTGTGTGTTTATAGAGGAAATCAGCTCAGCTTTTTTGGCTTAAAGTCGCATCATAAACTGAAGAGAAGGCCTAACTGTAGCTGCTGTGAATCACTGATACTGTCAGAGATGTCTTGAGATCTCCTTTGGGGAGATATTGGGAACCAGAAGTTCAATCTTTTAGGAATAATCTGGATCTAGATCTAATTAACTTTAAAGATGGTCATCACAAGGTCTTGTTAAAATATGCACTTTTTCTGGAGTGGGAGGGAATTGTGAAGTCCTAGTTAAAAACCCTGAAATAAAACCTTTGCCTATCTCACACCCCAAAACATGTATCACCCCCCCCACACCTCTGTCACTGAGATTAAAGTAAAAAGTGGCACTGTCCTCTGAGTTGTGTATTAGTTGGCACTGATGCAAGACGTTGAAATTCACTTGCTGTCTTCATTTCTGCTTACATAAAGTGCCTAATCTCCTTTAGGTGGTTTTGGTGTGAAAGGAGGATAAGTGTCCCATATGAAATAAATCTTTAGTTGGCCGAGTCATATCTGTATTTGCTTTAAGATGAGGTTGTGTATTTTTCCACTATGGCCCTTTTGTCTGGGCTTTTTGTTGTTCAGGGTATTTTGTTTTCTTTGGGATTTGGTGGTGGTTTTATTGTTTAATAGTATAATTCGTATTGAAAGTGCTGTGCAACTGTGAAGTGCAGGTGAGAGCACTTAGGTGGTGGAGGCATTTTTCACATGTTCTGTAATTTCCTTTTCCTTGCAGGATCAGTACATTTTCTGCTATCAAGTTGTCCTTTATGTCCTGAACTATCTCCAGCACGAAGAGCAACAGAGAGACAAATAAAATACTGAAGGAGAAGTGCATTTAAAATAAGGAAGCAAAGAGGTTGAGAGGCCCTGGAACATTTTATTTGTCCTGCCAATAGTTTTCTAATTCCTTTCTTCAGTTGCTGTCCAATGTCTTTTCTGTAAAGTCTCTCCATCATTCCAAATAAAGTATATAGTTCTAAGGGAAAGGGATAGCTCACACAATACCACTTTTGTCTTCAGCCCCATGGATGCACATGTGAGATTTTTGTATAACAATATTTAATAAAGCTGCAATTTTTTTGCAGCTTCCTTAATATGTCATAAAATACTGAAATAAAAATATTTTAATTTAAAAAGAAAAGTAAAGAAGAAAAAAAGTAATCCTATACTTCTTCCTGCAGTTCTGCAATTGTTTTTGGGGTATTTGTTTCTTACGGGGTGGGGAAGTGGGAGGGATGAAGCAGTATTTTTATCCTGGCAAACTTTATTACAGACATTTTACTAGTCTCTTCTGAAAGCTTGTTCATGGCACAGAATTTTTTGCCCTTCTGGTACAATTACAGCTATTTTATAGAAGGTATCTTGAAATCAGCATTTAAGCTTTAAGAGATGCCTGTTAGCATAAGGATAGTAGTGAATCTTAACTGTATCACAGTTAATAATGTTTACTTCATAGAATTTCATGTATATATTTATATACTTTTACACAAAAAAAAGCTGAATTATTGAGTGTCTAACCTTATAATTGATTAGACATCTCTGTTCTGTAAATAAAAATATACCTAATGTACACTAATCACAGTGGGTCTGGGTATTCTTGTGTCCTTGTGATTTATTTTTCTTGGCCTTCCATGGCATCATTTCTTGTGGTTGCTGCCCTTAAGACTTAAAGGCTGTACACATCTTAAATTGTCAGTGTCCTTCTTCTGTATCTGTTTCTTCAGTATCTGTTGGAAAAATCTGGCAGAGCTGTGGGCTCCTTTCTGGAGAGTTTCCACACTACCGTGAACTGAAGAGTTTATTTTCCCTCCCTCCTTGTTTTTCAGCACACCTGGGCATTGAGACCATGTCACTTTTTGGGGGGGATGTGTTTGCACTGCCACTGCAGTGATCTGCCAACAATGTAACCTACTCTGCTTAGGGCAACCAGGCTTAAGGTTGGAGGCAAGGTACCAGATTCTAAGTAGCTCAGTGGTTTAGTGATACTGTAAACAGTCAAAACTGTTCTGATAGAAAATTTTCATTTTAAGCTCTCTGGGAGCCCTGGATGGTGAATAAATTCTGCCATCCAACACATCAGCCTCCAAGTGGTCATTTGAGGGCTTGGGCAAAATTCCTGTCCCAACAATCCTTGCCAGAACTGAAGCTTTTGACTTGTGCTGTCAGGGTGTAAGAGTGCTGATTTAACAGCATTGTGCATTAAAGTGGTGGAAGTAAGTTCAGAGGCTAGTTATTATTCAAGGTTTTGACTCTTCAAAATAGTAGCCCACAGTGTTCTTGTGTCCCAAAACTGAGGCAATTACAATCATGCCTTGCAATAGCATGACTTGGAAAAGAGACTTTTTCACTTGTCAGTAATACTGTGTATTTTATTCCATCCAGCATAACAGCAAAATTGTGAATTTTTCAGAGCAGCATAGTTTGAAGAAGGAAAATTAATTCTGTGTAGATAGCAGAGGCAAATTGATTAGTCATGCTGGCAGTGCACCTATATGAAGGAGCTATAAATTGAAGACAGATTTTCAGGACTACAGTTGTATACAGGCAAAGTAATTAAATACAGCTAGTTAGTATACTGCTGCTGCTTTAACATAAATAGTGAGTTCAGAGGGTTTGGGCATGTCTGGGTTTTAGAAACAAAAGAAAGTGTTATGGTAACCAGACAGTAGGGTTAAGGCAGTTAAATTCTTCTTTTAAATGTTTTCAGGTACCTGCCAAACAATGTAGAAGCAGGAACAGCATGCTGCATGGAGCCAAGTACAGCACAAACAGTTTGCATCAGATTACAGCTTATAGGAAACACAAATCAGTAAAAGATTCCAGATTTTGCTGCTTGTCCTCGCAGATATGATGATGATCTGTGGTATGGTGTGTTACATCAAATTTCCTTTTAATGGTTGGCACACAAAAAAGCAGAGAATAACTAACTTGGCCTAACCTCCCTCAGAAAAAGGACAAACACACGTGTACACAAAAAAATTAGAGATATGTACAAAAAAAAAAAAAACACATGCACACACAGAAAGCATTCAGGTGTTCCTGAGAAATGGTAAAAGGTGGCATTGGCCTCCTTTGAGAAGTGCTCTGAATTTCTTTGGGTTTTTGTCTCAACACTAAGGAATAGAATATCAAACAAAGATGGAATGCTCTCTAGTCTAACACTTGCTGAGGACACTGGAAGGTTGTCTGTGTTCTGGTAAGCAGGTGGAGCTTCCCCTCTGTGACACCTGATGTGGTCAGCTTGGTTGAAAAAGACCCCACAGCTCAAAACCCATTACAAAAATTGGATGTGCTTATGCATTGGGATGGCTTAAACTTGGTTTCTATGGAAAATCTGGTTGGAAATATGCACCAATGCTCATCTTTTTCTTCAAAAGATTAGATTACTTAAGATACTTATGTCCCCATTTGAAGAAATGAGAAGTAAAACGATTAAGAAGCCTAGTTCCTTGAAAGGAAGATTGCTGTGTGCCTTCTTACTATGCTGACTGTATGATTTGCAGAGGCAAAAAGTCTTGAGAGGCTTTTTTTTTTAGAACTGGGATGCCTTGCTGAGTAAGCATCCAGGACATGCTGCAGCTGAAAGGGATTTTCCTTTACACAGGTATCTGATTTTTAGCAGGAAGTTTACCAGACTAGGGAAAAAACTGATATATAATCCATTATAATTCCAATTAAAGAACTGACCCAGCGTGTTAACCCAAGAGAGAAAGGATCCTTTTGTTTTTCCAGCCAGAATTAGCTGACAGGAGCACAAATGCTTTGCCACATAAGCAGCCCTATGCCATTAGTAGTTTATCATATCTTTGTTTTCCTTGCTGGTCTTTGCCTGCAGGAGAAGGGCAACAAAGGAGGGATTCCAGTTGCTCCTCGGAAACTGTTTTGAGGGTTCATTACTGTTGTTACTTGAATGCTGCTGAACAGCCTTCTTTCCTTAAAACTGAACTCCTAAAACTACCTGTGTGAGAAAAAAAAAAGAACCATCATCTGGGTGGAAGTTTGAATTTGTGACACCCACTGATAGACAAGTCAGGACATTACCTGGGGCAAACATCAAGTGGCTTGTGGATTTTGGCACAGCTGAAGTGGAGAGAATCTGTCTGGTGCTGCTGATTGCAAGGGTAAACCCAGGAAAACATTACTCAGCGTTTAAGCAGCTTCAAGAGGGCATTTTAGCAAGGACTTTGAATATTAAGGGTGTTCATTCACCAAATATTAATTCAGAGAATGATATTCTCCTGGTTGGGCAAAGTGGCAAATAAATGAATGAATGAGCCAGCTGAGAAGGAAAGTCCAACTCGTCACTGGGAAAGAAAATGCTGACCAAAAGTGGCTGATACAAATAAATGCTTTATTGGATATACTGAACAGACAATGAAGAGCAGACTTACACATACATGATGAGATAACAAGCTCCCATGGCACATGGTTCTGAGTAGTGTTTACTGCAAACTGGAGCACAGCCACTGGGTTGGAATTGGAGATAAGCTAAACTTCTGGATTCCATCTTTTGGAAAATTCCTTCTGGAGTTCCCATTCAATTTCAAGTCACCTGTCCAGTGGAGTGTTGACTGATGAAGGTGTTATATTTGACAATGGTCAATCTGTCACATCTTCTGGGCACTGAAGAATTTGTGGAGTGGGATGTTTCACACCAGCCTCTCCCTTGAGAGAGCGATGATGAAAATGACCACTTGTGTCTGAAATTTTGGCCTCTGTAGATCTCTTGCAGAGACACATCTTGGTCCAGTTCCTGTCAGCTTCTGTTAAAATTGATAATAGCCATCATGGAAAGTCTTGTATTGCTGTGGACATGAGGACTGAATTTCCACTGTTGCTTTGGGTAAACAAACACACAAAAAGGCAGAACACCATGTCCTGTGGCTGACATTCAGACCTCAATTTGCGCATCACTTCTTGGGCTTAATTACTAGTGTTTTGTGTTGGCCAGCCCAGTGGGCTCTGCAGGGAACTTTGCTTCTTAATGAGATGTTAGGAAAAGGGTGGTTGGTTTTGTTTTAATGAAATGCTGGAAAGATCTTGCTGGCTATGAGAATGTGACTTCAAGGATAAATCATTGGACTGGGAGCTGATTTAATTGCTAATTTCTTCAAGTGGGTTCTAGGAAATAAATTCCATCTTCCTTGTTGTACTGTGATGACCTCCATAGTAAAAAATTTTCTCTGGTAGGGCTCTGACTGTAACTTCAGTACAATAGCCAGATTACCAAACAAATTATTATGTCTAAACAAGTTAATTTGGTCACAGATGTAGTCTCGTATTCAGTAACAAGAAATTTTGTATGGTCTGTTTTGTCTCCTCATCTCTCTTTAAAGCCAGATTGGATATTTCTGCACTGTCCTCAAGAAGAGATACACTGGGATATCTCATTAAAACCCGCTCAAGTTACTGTTCTTTCCTTGAAGTCTTGTCAGAGGTGGAACTCAAAGCTTCAGCAAAAGAACTTGATTTTGGTTCCACCTCTAACATTGTTGAGCTTTCAGGACAAGCCTGCTGAAATTGGAGTGTGCTGAGCTTTTGGTGTGTGACACCTCTTTGTCTCCTTGAGGTGAGTGAGGCAAATTTGATGTGCTGAGCAAGCCTGCAGTAGCCTTTTGGAAACTGGACAGGGTTAGAGGATAAAGTAAGAGAGTTCTTGGCTATGCACTGTAGAATGGGGTCACTTTCTCCACAGCTCCTTTGGCACTTGTCAAGTAAATAAATTTTCTCTTGTCAAACATTTGTGGGTTTAAAAATACCCTGGCCTTGAGTGCTAACGTTCTGGGGAGTGCAGCAGAACTTTCCTTGCATTTCATTGTATCTCCTGTGTGTAGCTTGCTGCTGGATTGAGAATGAAGACATCCCATAGAGCGTGGTCTCTACAGGTGTGTGTTTCCTGTGTTCAAATCTGTCTTTAGATTCTGCTGTGTTCAGTACAATCCTGGTATGTGACAAGGATTTTTTTAAAGTCAGTTCTTCTAACAAGAAATAACAATGTCTCAAAGAACAGTGACCTCTGACGTGCTAATTAAAATAACTGGTCTGGGTCATCTTGCATCTATGAGAAAAATGTTCATTTATGCTAAATGAAATTATAAAGTAAGGTCAAGTCCATTTATCCCCTCAATGTCTTTAACAGGTGCTGAATGCTCTGAAGCAGAGGTGACACTGTCTGGTTCCTCCTAAAGCTGGCTTTCGGTATAATGACACAAAGGCAGCATTCCCAGCTCTTCTATGAAAAGATTATCATGCTGATGCTACAGGTAACAGGAGAGTGAGTGGTTATCAGGAGGCATTTCCTCAATGGTAGTGTTCCTAGAGCACTGCCAGTCTTCCCATCAGCACAATCTACTCATGTTACCCAGTCCCATAATGGAAATAATTCCCTGAAGCACAGCTACCTGCTTTGCTTTTCTCAGGGAATCATAAAGCACTAGCAAACAAGGTTAGATTTAGGCAGGAGTTATGTGAGCCCTGCAAGGTTGTCCATTCATATGATAATTATTCAGTATTCATTCCCTTTCTGTAACCTGCTTTTTCATGCACAGCTGCATTTTTTCCCAGCAGAGCTTAAAT